ATGTCTTCAAAGAAAAATAAGAAAGTCCAATTGCCTCTTGAAAAACCACCTTTGGTATAATTAAATTTTAATATTATTTGCAATTAAAATATATTTTAATATTATTTAATTTAATAATAAATTAAATCAGTTATTTATTTGTTTGTTTATTTGAAGCCCCATGGGCTTTTAAAGGTCACCTTGACTTTTCCCTGGAAGCAAAGTGGCAATCAGTGCAGATTGCAAAATAGAGGCATAACATGCTGTTTTAGAACCATACATAACTGCCTATGTGGCTGCATTTTGGCCTCGCACAGATATCAAATAGGAGTGAAGACAGCAAAATATTGCCAAATTATTACAGAAAGTGAAACAGGCAAGATTTTTTATTGATTTACAGTCTTAATTAAGCTTGATGAGTTGATGAGGCTAATATATCTTGATGAAAAGGAATAATTACATTTTAAGGCAAAGTCAAAGCCCCAATATTTAAAACCAATAACCACTAGAGGTTCCACCAAGGAAATAAACACAGACATGCTGGCATAACAATTTTCCTTTATGGAACAAAATTTCTCCTCATTAAGTTAATTGGAACCATCTTTTATATACAATATTAGAAATGCAAAATAGGTGTTTTGCACACGGTATAATTAAACACATTTGCTTACCTTTCTTATAAAATGTTGCTCATTAAGGTATTGTATGTATGTTTGATAAGAGAAAGAGGGAAGAGAATACAGCACGACCAGGAGAATAGCATTCATCCAATTTTCATTTTGAATTACTGTACAGTTTCAGAACACAACAAGTCCAGCCAACATCAAATTGGCAGGCTTAGACTGATGTTTGTGTGTTAATTTTCCAAAAAGTTTTTCTTCCATTAGTTTTTTTTTTCCATTGTAAAAGGGAAATTTATTTCAATACCCAGATCCCAACACTGGTGCAATACTTTTAGCAATATTAACAGTCAAAAATTGGTTGGCCATAAATATTGTCACCATATTTTCCAACCATTTATTATTTCTTTTCAACCCTTGGGGTGGGGGAGGGAATTGAGCATCTTTTCCAAGATTTTTCCAACCACTGTGTTACTCAGCCACTCAGAATCTCAGAAGAAAGTGGAAGGTGTCCTGTTATTTTCTTCAGATCAGCAGACTTGAAAAGCTAAAAAATGAACGTCATTGCTCCAGCCACTACATTTCACAAAAGTAAGGGAAATCTCTCCCCCCCCCAGCTGCAGAGAGAAAATGACAAAATAATTGTTCATTTCCATCCATTGTGGTTTTGTTTGAGCTACTGAGAGGGAGCTGTGAAGCTTTTGGCTGAACTCCCCCCCCCCCCAAAGAACTGAGGTTCAGGAGCTGAAAGAAGTTATGAGGCACAGCATCTTAAAAACTTTGAAACAGAAACCCCAAACTAGCTCTTTATTGCTTCCAATTACCCTGCAACTAAAGAAAAGGCAAATCAGCTCAAACCTCCAATCTTTGGGGAATTTTTATTTTAATACAGCTGGGAAGTGAGATATCATGGGCAGTTATGTAAGACAGGTTGGCTTCTCATTTGTTAAGAAAAAGGAAAACATAAAAAAATGGATGTAGATTTGCTGTAAATTTGGATGTAAATTTACACTTTAGATGCAGTTGTAGGAAACAAGTAACAAATTTTATTTAAAATACATCATATTCATCAGAATGAGATTTATCTTTACATTGATCTTGAAAAGGAAATCCTTTAAATCGAGATATTGTTAGATACTTGGATGACATACATCAAAGTTATGAAAATATATACTTTATATAGCGAGAAATACAATATGAAAAGGAAGCGCCAGCTATAAGGAAGCGTTCTCAATGGAATGTTTTGATTTCTTAACCACTTGGTATTTTGCTTGAAATAAGTTAAATAACAGCCCTTTACAACATTGTGGTATTCCGCATGTTTTTGAGCTGGTACTGAGTGGAAAAAAATATCATTACAGAAAAATGCCAAAATTCTTCTTCATTGGATATTACTGTTTAGTACAAGTATTTGTCTGAGAAAAGGTTGGTTTTTTTAAAGGCTACAAGATTAAATATAAAACTTTAGCAAGATAATGGATCAATTGAGTGTTATAAGATCAATTCTGTAATATATTAGCAATAACATTATTAAAAAGATTATTGCATTCACTGTGCGCTTTTGTTGTAAGGATGATCATTATTAGCACTTGTTGAAAGAAATTGATTCATTTGATTGATTGGTGATTATGTGCCATCAAGTCAGTGTCGATCCTTAATGACCACAATCTGCATGATTCCTAATCTTTTAGGTCTCTAACCATCCATCCATTGCCATTGTAACTGAGTCTATTCACCTTGCTGCTGTTCATCCTATTCTTCTCTTTCCTTTCACCTATCCCAACACTTTTCCAAGAGAGCTAGGTCTTTGCATAAGGTGTCCAAAGTAGGATAATCTGAGCCTCGTCATTTGTGGTTCAAGTGAGAAGTCCGGTTTGATGATCCATTTGTTTGTATTGTCATGAGGTGTCTCCAATCCCCCAAAGCACCAATATTCTTCCTGATTCTTCAAAGTCCAGTTGAAGTAAAACTAATCCCAAAATAGGGATGTGCTCAAAATTAGGCACAAATTTTTTGATGATTTTTGAGTGCTAGTTACGTCATATACATAGTTCTCATTGTAATCACTATAAATACCCTGGAATAATATCTCTTGTTGCCAAGGGGTAAAACTACTTTATTAGGAATTAGGGCTTGATGGCACTTGCTTTAGAGTACTTAGTGATGAAATGTAGCATCTATCTACAGCTACTTAAAGTGTTTTTTCCAAACTGAACTCAAAGTGCTGCACAACCCTTTTAGGCTTTCTTGTGTCTTTTGTATCGTATCTCACAGAATTAAGAAGTGTCCAAGGGATTATGATTGAGGATATAAAAGGGCATAGGGCTTAAAGAGAATAATCGCAAATTAAATCATTGTTACTTATAATTTAGAGCTCTTGTCTTCTTAGATTCCATATTTTCTAGGACTTGGAATTCAGAATTTGGCTGCGAAGATATTGCAGTCATAGCCTATCAAGTTCAAATGCTTAGGTTGGGGGTGTTAAGATTGTTCTTATTTCTCTCTGGATTGTGCAGTGAATACTGAAAAATGAAAATACCTGAAATAATGGTGCTGGCTCAGCAAATTTTGCTGACAAACAGAGAGAAAATACATTATCTATGTTTGAGCTTTCCCCTTATGCAATCAGCAATTTTTAAAAAACTTGACAATGTTAGAGTAATACTGTATGAAAGGGGCATTGTGTGTACATTCAAAGTAACAGAAAAAAGAGGGCCAGTTATATGCACAACTTTAACCTTAGAAGGGCATAGGTTGGGCTCTTAAAATATATTCTTTGGAGATTTCTGTGAAAGTTAATCCCATGATCTCAGTTGTCTTCAATGAAAACTTAGTCCCATGATTTCCAAGAAAACATGAAGAGGATGAAACATTTTATTTTTTTCCTGAGCACCCAGATCATAATCACATGACTATGGGAGAGGGATGCAATGTTTTACAATGACCACAAGTGCTTTTCAGGCCTTTCTAAGGCCATCACACTTTGAAATGGTCATTAAACAACTCATCATAAGAAGAGAACTACCTGAAGTTATAGATTGGAATAGAACATTAAATTTTTCATATTACAAACTATATATATTTCTAGATATTCATCTTCCTTTTCTTCAACCAGACTACTTTTAAAAAAATCAAAAAGAGAAAGGCCCTTTGGAAGATTTCTGTAAGAAGAAAAGTATTGATATATCTCAGAATAGAGTATTCTTCTCTAGCATAATAATATCAATTTCATATGATATTACCAAGTTTTTAGTGACATTAACAACATATATCAGGCAAGCCAATTAAGAAACATCAAAAAAATGTTATGGTTTAACTTTGTAAATAATCTTTGTGAAATTATTGTTTTGATACATAAATTATTATTTCACAGGATGGATCATGAGTTTGGAGGATTTTGTGTCAACTGATGCTTGTGTAAAAATTATTTACCCCCTTACTATAGTCATGGCTAACTTCAACAAATCTCACTGTTTTTCTTTTTGTTCTCCTTGTTTTCCTTCTCCAGAATTTGAACATGAAAGGTCTCATTCTCTATATACTTTTAGGTACAAACAATACACTTTTCAAAATGCTATCAATTCAGTAAGCAAACCTGGACACTGCTTTACAGTATATTCCTCGACTTACAACCATTTATTTAGTGACTGTTTAAAGTTACAACACTACTAAAAAAAGGGACTTATGATCGTTTTCACACTTATGACCATTGCAGCATCCCTGTGGTCATGTGATCAAAATTCAGACCCTTGGCAATTGTATTTATGGTTGCAGTATCCCAGCTCATGTGATCAATTTTTGTGGCCTTCTGACAAGCAAAGTCAAAGGGGAAGCCAGATTCATTTAACAACCATGTTACTGTCTTAACAATTGCAGTGAGTCACTTAACAAGTGTGGCAAGAAAAGTTGTAAAATGGGGCAAAACTGATGTACCTGTCTTGTTTAGTAATGGAAATTTTGGGCTCTATTGTGGTTGTATGTCAAGGACTGCCTGTACTTTTACTTTTGTTTGCTTCTTTGAAATGGTTTCCTTGAATTTCTCATTCACAGCATTGTTCTATTTTTTATCTTTCCTGAAAAGCACAATGAAGCAATGAAACCCATTGCTGACAATAGAAGTCTGATAGGTTTTTACTTCAGCCAGAGCCTCTTTCAACATAATCCACAGAAGTATTAATGCATTCTAGCCCAGTTTGATTCATGCTTTCAGATGCACTTATGCAGAGATTTATATGTGCTTGTCTTAGACTCTGCACTCATAACATAATCTGTAAATTGCCTCCATGTTGAGTTATCTCTTCTTCCTGCTTTTTACATTTTCGGAATTGTTAGATTAGCAATTGATTCCTCAGTCTTCAGGTTTTCCAAGGAGAGTATAAAATGAATAATCTGACCTCAATGTGTGTATAGATATATAGGTGTTTATTTAATAAACATGAAGGAATTGTTGATAAAAAAGCTGATAGTCGTTCCATTAAAACATAGGCAAACTTAATTGAATGAAAATGTAACAGAACTACTTTGGCTGCTTCAGTTCCGAAACTTTAAATTAAATATTTAAAGACAGAGGCAACAATCCTAAAGACTCCTGATAGTATTTAAAAAGAAAGTATTAGATACTCTAACTATCATTGATCACACTAAGTATAAACTTGGATAATTGTTCTACCTCATTAGAGAAATGAGATAAATCAGTTTTATGTCTGCCATAGATGTCCATAGTGGTGAAGCAATTTATGCAGGTCACACAGAAGTTATTTTGTTTGTCCCTGGCAGGATAGAAAGAGTTTTACTGAAAAAATAATAAAATTGCTTTCTAGAAGCAAATATTTAATTAACTCTACTAAGGAATACCCTGGTTATACTGGATCTTCATCCTTTTTCCCCATTTACCTACAAAAGTAGTAAGCACCTTCATTTTTGAAGAGGTGGAGTGTTGCAACGGGGAAGGACCCACCAAAAAAAAGAACAAAGACTCTTTGGAAGCTTTCTTCAGGGCTCAGCCACTCATTTTGCCTTGTGCATTTTCTTTCCACCCAAACCATTCTACCTCACCAATTCACAGAGTGCTTGAAGGCTAGCTACATCGGCGTCCCACCTGCATGCTATCATACTGCCTCCAAGTTCCACCCCACAAAATAGCAGATGAAGTAGGGCTCACAGAATTGCTGTTATCTAATGATGGATGGATTTTGGCAGCCAATTTATGATAGACTTCCATGAAAGCAGGTAGAACAAATCAGAAGAGATCTTGCTAGAAAGTGGAGAGGATGGTGGGAAATCTTTTAAAAAGGTAAGTCATATCATAAAATTATATAGTAGAAAACATCTATGGACAAACATGGAAAAACATTGTCCATTCTTTTTTATATTGGCATCACGTTGTTTCCTCTAATTTATTGGAGTTAAAATTTATTTAACTCCAATAAAAAAGATACACCAACATACACACAAACACATAAATTTCATGTCAGTAATTTCTAGTGGTATCAAATAACTCAAAATACACTTTAAAAAGTGTAGCCTTGATCAGATGGTTGTGATCACCATCTTGATTTTTATTACCCCTGCTAATCTCACAAAACAGTTTTTTGATAGTAAGCATGGAATAATAAATACTTTGTTTAGTTCAAAATATCTGCAACCCCATAGAACAAGTTGCCATAAAGATTCAGAAACAATATATAAAAATATAAAGCAGGAGAAAAAAATCAAGTCATTTGTCACACATTTTTTAAAATAAAGCAATATTTTACAGCATACTGTAAATATTTTTGGTGACATGAAATCTGCTGTCCAACATACCATTAAAAAAAAATCAATGTAAAGCTGAGAAAATGTAAGCTATTTTTTAAAAAATCCCGCAAATGTTAGAGATAGACCATAGGTATCCAATCTGAGGTTTTAATGCAAAACATTTTAGTGGAAAACCACTGCTGTGTCCACATAATACTTTGCACTACAATGCCTATAATTTTGTGGGTTGTTTTTTATGCGATATAAACAACCTTAAAATAGCCCTTTTGATACATGCCATTTAGTAAAATGACATATTTGAAAGTACATGCTAGTTTTCAATTTCTAATAGATGCTTTCTGCTACTGCATTTAGACCCAGATTGTGATTGAGTTCTGCCACGTTCCTCTACAGGAATCACCTTGTCAATTGCAATATTTACACTGTAACTGTTAAGTGAGTTTTGCCCCATTTTATGACCTTTCTTGCCGCAGTTATTAAGTGAATTGTTGCAGTTTGTTAGTAACACGGTTGTTAAATGAATCTGGCTTCCCCATTGACTTTGCTTGTCAAAAGGATACTACAAACGTCATAAATATGAGTCAGTTGATATGTGTCTGAATTTCGATCACATAGCCGTGGGGATACTGCAACAGTCTTAAGTGTGAAAAATGATCATAAGTCACTTTTTAAAGTGCCTTTGTAACTTTGAATGGTCATTAAGTGAACTGCTGTAACCTCAGGAATACTTGTATATTCCTCAAATAATATTATACTAGACACTCAGCACATTAAATAAAATAAATATCAATATCAATCATGCTGTATTTCCACTTATCAATGAATTACAACATAAATAAAATATAGTCGTCTTGTCATTTAATAGAGGGTCAGATATTGAAATTTTACTTTCCAGAACTCATTTCTTTTAACCACTGTGTGGTTAATTCTATATTTCTATTTATTTAGTTAGTACATATATTTCCTGAAAAGGAAGATGGCTTTGGCAAGTGCACACAAGGCTCCACAGATTCAACGCTTGTTCCCGACAAATGCCCCTCCCATCGGCACCTCTTTACCTCTTAGTTCCCAGGTGTGTCTTGTGAAAGGGGGTGGGGCACTCTCTTCCCTCATAGCCGGCTCAATCTGCATTGATCTCGTTGTCTCTCTTCCCTTCTTGCTCTCAGATCAGGAGGGGGTAGTCCTTGCTCTTCTCCTGAGCTCTCCCTTGCCTGGACTGACTCTGCCCTTCCCCAGTTTCCTCCAAGGCCAATGGAACTGGCCTCTCCATCTCTTGTCAATTCTTGTTCCAGATCATCTTCCCCTACAGATTCAGACTCTGGAGGCATGACAGAGAGATTTAATGTTGTGATATGTACAAATAGTGCAAAAAGCCAATAATATAATCCATTCTTTCTTACTCTTATATTAAAAAAATAGTTTAATTGTGTCCAAACAGGACAGAATTTGTATCATCAATATTTGAGTTCCTGTTGAGAAATATTTTTATTTTGAATCAGAAATTGATTTCATTTATTTGTTTATCCAGTATATCTAACCTGAAAACAACTGGACACTAAGCAGCTTACATAATTTACATATTAAGAAGGGTAAAAATCAGGATAAAATAATTAAAATAGTAACTAGAAATGTGTGTATATATGTATATAGTGTCACAGGTGGGTATTCTTAGCAGATATTCTCTGATCATCTGTGTAGGACAGGCATAAATGGTCTGGTAAAAGCCAATGTCCAAGATACCTACACTTCAAGCTATGTAGGAAGTTATAGTAATCATCAACTAGAATTGTATTCTGAAACCTACTGATAACCAGTGCAGCTCATGCAGCAGCGGTGTAATATGGCAGTTCTACCATTCACAATGAAATATGCATGCTTCTACATCAGGGGTGTCCAATTGGTGGCCTGAGTGCCGGATGTGTCACGCCCAGGCAACGCCCACCCCAGCTCCGCGAAGGGAAAATATATTGTAAAACGTCACGTGTTGGCAACATGACACTGCAAGTTTGACATCAGTGTTCTGCATTCTGAACTAGCTGCAGCTTCTTGGTGGTATTCAAGAGTAGCCATATATAAAGTGAATTATAGTCATGCAATTGATAGGTGACAAACAATATGACTTCTTACTGTTCCAGGTAAGGCTGCAGAGCTGGTGCAGTAACTGAAGCTGTGCAAAAGCTCTCATGGCCACAGCCATGATTCTAGGAGGACTCTCAGATGGTGAGCCTTCTGTTCCTGGAGGAGTCTTGGAATCATTCAGATTCATCAACAGCATTCCACCTGAACCTGTTTTTCTCCATCTGAACCCTGACAATCTCCAAAATGGGTCATAATTTCCACCACATTTTCAATTTGTAGGCTTATCTAAAAAGGTGGCCAGATCTCATAGAAAATAAATTATCGTCCTTTAGAGGTCCACTTTCTTCTACTTACAGAAGTGAAATGCTTTTGAATATATTACATGTTTTTTCATAACTCTGTAATTACTCAAAAAAATAGCTAAAATATTCTGATTGGCATTCTAAAAAAAAAAATCTACACTGTTCTTTTTGCCACAAATTTTGGAGAGTCAAACAGGTTTGGGCGTTTGCAGGGTTTCACACTTTATGTGTGCCAAACAAAGGAAGGATGGTGATGTAGCAGTTAATATGGCCTGACATTAATGCTGACATTAAAAAACTGGACAATGACATCCTGTAATAAATGCAGTGTCAGAAAATGAGCAATGGTGGGCTTCATGTCATCTTTTTGTCTATTATGTCATATTGTGAAATGTGGTCCCTGCTTCAGTAGGATAGTTAGTTGCAAGTTCTGTAAGGTCAATTCACAATTAGAGGTCAATTCACAATTAAAGATTACTCAGCTATTATACAGCTGTTAAGATTTTATGAGATGATGATAGGTAGATAGGTAGAGTGAGTGAGTGAGTGAATAATAAATATTTGTGTAATTAGATCTGTCTTATAATTCTGGTGATATATTTTATTCTCCATCAGCGCGCCTGGAAGGGACGTTCAGGTAAGTCAACGTCCGTTTTGTAGAATATTAATAAACTAGTGTTTATTGATTTAGTGATTTTCAAATCTAATGGTTTCCTAGAAAAAGAAAAATTTCACTGAAGGCATAATCCTGTTATTTTTTTAAAAAACCAGCATAATGCTTATTGATTTCTAACACATGCTTAAATGCAGCTATAAAATTAAATTGCAAAGTAAAATATGAAGCAAATAAAACATCAGTTTGATAAAGATCTAATAAAACCTACCAGTAAAAATTGGAAGCAGAAATAAGACAACTGGGGTTAAAAATTATCAGAGTTAAGACAACAAAGATTTTTAAAGTCTTGTAAACAAAAATGTTTTTAACTAAGTTAACTTGTTTTTGGACCCCAGCTAGATGATTTTCAGGACTACAACCAACAAGTCCTGCTTTTCTTTGTCCACTTCCAAAAAATTTAGAGCTAAGTGAAGAATGCTTTGAATTCCCTTACAGACTTCTAGATGGGATGCCTTGTGTCCCAGGATTAGTTTTGCTTGCTTCACAGCAACACAAAATTGTCTGTCATGATAATTTGTTTTGCAAGCATTCTTTTGGACTCGGCCAAATGCAGTCATGAACACACATTAGATTTCATTTACCTATTAACTGCTGCCAAGCAACCAGTTTGGGTAATTTTTTACATCTACCGCTCCCTCTGCCTGTCTCTGCATTTTCTTTGTTGACTTAGTTTATCTATTAGTTCCACCATGGCACTGGTTGCCTTTTAATGAGGTGGAAAGTGAATGCTGTTTGTTACAGTGCTTTCACTTTTCATATATGCTTATGATAAAGAAAATTGTTGTATTTGGTACCTACATATTCCTATTTTAAGGAAGACAGAAATATACCAGCTGTTCAGATCAATAGAAAATAAATTAGATCAAGCAAAAGATTTGGGAAGGGTTTAGTAATTCCTAAAGCCAAAAATTATTTTAGAGCAGTATTTATATAACTTTGAGGAAAACATGTCTATTGCTGCTAATAGAATTTGTGTGTGTGTGTGTAAAACATTATTTATCTATTTATGTACATGCATGTATAAAAACACGTGTGTGAGATAGCTATATACTGGATGGATGGATGATAGATAGATAAATAGATAGATAGATAGATAGATAGATAGATAGATAGATAGAATATCACACCCATATATATGATGAAAACAAAACTATTTTTTCATTATTTATCTCCATCTCTGATTAGATGCCACATAATCTCTGATATATAAAATAAAATAAAAAAGAGTGAAAGCAGAACATATATGCAAAATTAAATACAGTACAGGATATCAGTCCTTTGGACAATGGTGGCTGAAATCATCAGGCAGTTTCTATTCATCACAAATGAAAACCTTCAGTATTATCCCTAGGATAATCATTTCATCAATCTGTTTAAAAACTCATGACATGTAATCTCATAAATCACTTAAAGAAAAGTATTACAACCTATCTTCCAAGTATACATATCCCTTTATATAGAAGCTTTCTTTTGATAGGTTTCTGTCATTTCTTGTGCTTCAATTGCAAACACATTTTTTTTCATATAAGCATTTTTAAAGTACCTGTTTTTCAGATGTTACATCTGATTATGTAATGAAACAAGGTTTCTGGACAGAAAATTCTTGAAAAAACCTGATTCACACATCATATTAAGGCATAGTGTCATTTAATCATTGAAATAAATAAATATGTTGGCAAATACACAAAGAAGCAAACTCGATGGTTCCTTCAATAAGATGTAGTTTAAACATAACTTAATATGATGTGTGAATCTTACTAGAGAATGAATAAGCCACCTGATGGAAAATTTGGCTTCAATAAATTATATATGCAAATAATATTCAAGCTTCTTTCTTTGCCTTCTATCCTCATCAGTTTTGAATGAAATCAGTAAAAGTATTGAATAGCACTTTAAGTATTTTTAAAAATGAATACAATGAATAAAAACCCAGAGGGATATTTGTTAGAAATATTCATAAGCAAGAAGTTTACTGTGTTTATTTCAGAAATTCTATATACGGTTTGCTTCTATTATGTACTTTGTCTTGTAATAATAAATTTGCAATTAAATTTATAATCCTTACTCTTTTAAAATTATTCATGCCTTCAAAATGTTTTTGTGGATTAGAATCACATAATATCTCCAGTCTCATTGTCTTAATCGTATTTTGATAAACCACATCCAACTTTTTCTTCCCTGCATATTTGCTAACATATCATTTCTTTCAGTCATTAAATAAGCCAGATAAATTTTAATTATGCTGTAATAATGCCATAAAGAAAGATCACCTGTGATTCTTTGCAGTGATGTTTTTCATTGCAAATGCTCTTTGGCAGGCTTAACAAATATACTGGCATGGTAGTGTTCCAAATCCATTTACATGTGAGTTATTAAAAAAAGATTGTATTTGTAGACAAAACTTTTCATTATTAAGAATTGAAACACTGGAAACATGAAAATTATAAATGGCAATCGCTAACAATACAAGGTGAAAAAAATGAACCAGTGCAAGGTGAAGTTATTTCTTTTGCTAGAGCAAAATACTGTGCCAAAATGGAAAATATTATTTTATTTGTATGCTTTTCATTATTTGTTTATGTACATTTGTGTGTGTGTGAATGCATATATAATCTATTCCAGTTTCTGATACAATTATTTTCAAATTAGAAATGACAGTACAAATTAAACGCTAGGGTCTAGTGTTTAGCAAGACCCCAGTAAGTAATAAGTATGTTGCTAAGTATATACAAAAGAAAAAAGAAATATTAAAGTCAAGAGCTATGAGATTAAACACTAAATGTTTCTGTATTTAAAAAGTATATTTTAAAATTATAGTATAGTAATATCTGCGGTCATTTCAGTTAAATTTTGGGTGCTTGGCAATGCACCTGCCCTTATGACTGACCACAGGGACAACTGTCCCAACCTGCCTGTTTGCCCCGCCCCATCCCATCTTGCTGTGTCTTACTCTTTAGGCCTACTTCTCATCCTGGCCTTGGCCTGCTGCCTGCCCTGCTGGGTCCCACTCCCTTGGGTCACTTCTCCTCCAACTTGCCTCATTTACTTACTTTTTCAAAGATTGCTTCTCCCAAGTGGAATCAGCTGATCTGCTGTGCAGTCTTCCTATAAAGAAGTTGCATGGTGCCATCCTGGAAGCGGGTGCCATTTTGGAAGCAGCCACAATTTTCGGATTGCGAAAATTGTGTCTGCTCTCAAAATGGCACCCACTTCTGGGACAGCACCATCAGTCAGTCAGTCATTCAACAATCTACAAGAAGAACCTTGCATGGCAAACAAGATGGAAGCAGAAATGAAATTTACAAAGGACTAAAAGTTGAGTCCTGACAGAATCATCCAAGTTTTATTAAAAGGCCTAGATTATAGCACTGTATTGATTGCAATAAGAAGCCAATGGGGAAAGAAAGAACACTTGATAGTCTGGCACTAGTACATTATAAACTGGAATCAACTTTCAGTTTTTAAAAAAAGGTTAAATTCAGCTAAGGCAAAGTTGGAATTTGGCAAACACTTGTCAGCCCCAGCGAGGATTCTTTTGGAGTGACTCAGCCACCTGGCAAGCTGAAAATGCATAAAGTGGCAGCTTGTAGAACTTCCCATGTTTGGTTTTTCATTTCTGTTTGAAAGAGAGAAAAAAATACTGGCAACAAAGAGATAGATACATACCCTCAGTGATGGTGCCTTATGGTTAACAGAAAGCAGAACGCAGCATGGTAGTCTGGCTTCCTTTTGATTAAACAAATGTTGGCTTGACTCTCTAATGAGAAGCAACGGGTGCTGGGACTTTAGCCCTAACAATTGAAATTCTTCAAAATGTTTTTGGCCCTGGATCATAAAATTTCTAGGGAACATAAGCTGGTGGCAGCAATAGTGCCACAGCAAGTGCTTCTCTTCAGAGAACCAATTTGCATATCACTGTTCATCCTGCTACTCTTCTTTGTACTGCTAGCTAAACCTGAAAGTTCGATGGTTACCTTCCTCCCCCCTTTCTTTTTCTTTTTTCTTTTTTTCTTTTTTTTTTGTTTTAAATGAGTCCTTAAGACCTGGCTCTGTATCTAGGCCCTAGGTTAGTTTGGGACAGTGCTTCTCAACCTTGGCAGCTTGAAGTTCTTTGGACTTTTAACTCCCAAAATTCCTGAGCCAGCTATAGTAGCTGCATCTGTTTGTTTTGTTTCTTTTTACCTTTCCTCTTTTGTGTTCCAGCAATTGGAAAAGTAAACTACTTCCTGCAGTGTCAGCAGCATCAGAGGAAAGAATCTAGTGTTCCCGTTATTGCTGCAAGCATTAGATTGTTTACACATTTACAGGTTTAAAAGATAACAATATGCATTGGCAGTAATTTTTTTTTTAAAAACCAGCCCAACACTTGAGGAACTTTTGTCTCCGTACTTTTTATCTCTTTGCTTCTGCCAGAATGGCTGAGCCAAAGAGTGCAAAAATGGCACACCCCATTTTAATCTCTTGATCTTTAGGACAAATCTGTGGCTTAGCCTTGTCTGTCACTTTTGGAAAAATGGAACAATGTGGATGTGTCTTGCTGAACTAAAATGATGATTTAAGTCTCATTGAACTCCTATCGATGGATTTATCATCTATTTGCTTAGATCACTGGGTAAAATTTCATATTTTATTATTTATGTTGTTTGATGTGTTAAGGATGTAAGCTGTTTCAACTAAAGCTGCCTTTTGCAATTGAGCGGTGGTGATTTGGTCAATGCTGATAGTGGTGGTCCAGATGGGATTGCACCAAGGGGCCTATCACTAGTGGCATATTATTATTATTATTATTATTATTATTATTATTATTATTATTATTATTTAATCTTTAGTGAGATTCACAGCCTTTGAGGCTGGTTAATAGCTCAGCAGCTCGAGTCCTAACCAAGGACCTAGGAACTGTTAAGGTATCATCGGAGGATGTAAGCTGTTCTGAATAAGGTGGTTTTTTGTAGAGTCAAAATGTTCAAGTCTGGCAAATTTAGAATTTCTAAATAGCGGGGTAGCCCTTTGGGTATTGCTCCAAGGGCTCCAATTACAATCGGGACAACACACAATTTCTTTTTCCACAGTCGCTCAACTTCAATTTGCAAGTCCTGGTACTTTGTGATTTTTTCTTGCTGCTTATCTTCAATCCGTGCATCACCAGGTATTGCAATGTCAATGAACCATACTTTTTTCTTTTCAACTATTGTTATGTCAGGTGTGTTGTGGACCAAGTGCTTGTCAGTCTGAATCCTAAAGTCCCACAAGATATTGAGTTTTTCATTTTCTAAAACTTTCTCAACCTGATGTTGTTGTTGTTGTTGTTGTTGTTGTTGTTGTTGTTATTATTATTATTATTATTATTATTATTATTATTATTGCATATCCATTTCTCATAAGTGCCCAGATAGCTTAAACCTGAGAACAGAAGCATAGGCATTCTTATGTTTAAATTGGTTTTCTTTAAAATGTGCTTTGCTCGCTCTTCCCTTTCTTTGTTCAGTTTTTCAATTAAAATATAAATCTTTCTATATTTTGTCATCTTTATTTCCATACTCTATTGGTGTTGCATTGGCAATTTCTATAAAAAGTTTTTATGTGTTCTGTAAGAAAATGAAAAGCCCCTTTATACATGAGCGAGAAATTATGTGAAATGGGAAGCTTTTGTTTAGCCTTTTCCAATATATGGCTATTATAGTGAAAGAAACATCTTTATCTTGCAAGATGAGAGCCAAGTCTTGGAATAAAGACATAATATTTATCAGTTTACAGCCTCTTATCCCTGCCATGTAAGAGATAAGAAAGCATTTTTCTTAATCAGGTTGAGTGTGCTTGGAAACCAATCCCAGAAGGTTAGCGGTATTTTATTTCCTTTATTCTCTTTCCACTTCCTACACCCAAGACAGTTTATACAGTGACAGAGACTTTCAACCTTTTCTTAAAAGACTTTCCATATATATATACTATATTCTTAATATTTAATATTCAGAATCTGAAAGGAAGAAGCAAATCTTGAGCTAAGGTTTTTCATTGTAATACCTGTTTTGTGTTCAGTTTTAAATATAAATGAACAATCATCTTAAATGATATAGTAGTGCTAAGGTAAATAAAATTTGGATAGCTGGGAATTTTATAATGAAGAAACTCAAGTTCTGTTATGTTTTGGTACTCAGAAGAAATTCTTCAGTTCAGGATTATTTGATTTTGTTCTTTTCCTTATTATAAAAATGTAATGAATAATCTTTGAGATAAAAATGGGACTGAGCTAATTTATTCCACTCCATTATCTTCACTAAAGCAGAAACTTAAATGGACAGATCACTTTCTGGTGGCTCTGGGCTTGACTAATGCTACAACCTCTGAAGGAAATGAGACTAAATATAATAGTAATGGAATGTGGGAATAACCTTGAGAGACAGGATGTAGCGATACAGCCAAGGGGTCAGATAAAACGCAGCTTAGCCCACAGTGAGAATGTGGGTGGGGCAAGAAGCTCAGAAGTGATCTTCCCTAGATTCATGGGCTATAAAGGGGATAGAGGGAGGGATATACTTTCAGTCTTGCAAGAATATGTTCATGTAATAATCTTACAATAATGTAGAATTAGCTCATCTGTTCATATTTCCTGTCTGGTCTACCTCATAAGGCTAACATCAGTTATACATCTCTACATGGGAACGTCTGGGAGATGCAATGGAATTCTTGACCTGGAAGCAGTAAGGGTCTGGATGGAGAGAATTGGGTTGAGACTCAATCCTAGCAAACTGAGCGACTATAGGTTTGCATTAGTTTAGTACATTACCAACTTCATATCTGGATGGGGCTGGTATGCATTCTGGGGATATTCCTGAACTCTCAACTCCTGGAACAGTAAAAATTGGGTCCTGGAGGTTCTGTGCTCATCTTCAGCTGGTTAGTAGTTCCAATTATTCCTGTAATATAAGGCACAGTTTTATAGTCACTCACATCCTTGTCACCTAACAGTTAGGCTGTTTTCAATGGGACTGTCCTTGAAATAACAAATGCAAAATGCAATAGCTTATTAACTGTTTTGTGGTATAACATCAATGTTGTGGGAGCTGCATTGGTCATCAGTTTCCAGATACTATTCATGATGACAGTGATCACTCTTAAAAGTTCAATATGGATTGGACGTTGGCTATATTTCTGATGGTCTGCTCCAAATAGACTGCTTGCCCAGGGAATGCCTGTAGAGAGTTTTTGAGAGTCCTTGCACAATCACTTTTCTTAATGACCAAGTAGATCAGACATAAATAAATTTCAGAAGCAGGTGATCCGTGACTTCTGACATCTCTCACTAATGACCATGGTGGTTAAAGCTGCTGAGACTAACAGATACGACTGTTATCTCTATCTAATTATTCTGAAGTATTCCCGTTGATGGGAATATTTTTGGTAACTGCCAAAAATGGCAGTTTTTTTGCATCCAGTGTTCTAGTACAAAACAAAATAAATCCTGCAGACTTAAACTGTAAGAAGTCCTGCTATGTACAAGTAGTCCTCAACTTACAACAATACATTTAGAAACCATTTAAAATTACAACGGCATAGAAAAAAGTGACTTGTGACTATTTTTCAGGCTTATGACGATTGCAGCTTCCCCATGGTCAAATGATCAAAACTTGGACACTTGGCAACTGGCATGTATTTATGATGGTTGCAGTGTCCTGGGGTCATATGATCACCTTTTATGACCTGACTAGCAATCAACGAGAAACCAGATTCACTTAATAACCGTGTTACTAATTTAACAACTGCAGTGATTCACTTAACAATTGTTGCAAGAAAGGTTACAAAATGGACAAAACTTACTTAACAACTGTCTTGCTTAGTAATAGGAATTTTGGGCTCAGTTGTCGAGCACCATCTGTAATATACGGTATGTTGAAATAATTAATAAAAAATAACATCACTTGTTCCTCAAATATATTCATCCTTGAATTTTATAGCTACCTCTTCTTTAAATAGTTCTTTCAATGCTGAACTTGTGTGGTCTGAAGTTTTAAAATGGAATCTGCCTTCAGCAACTTCAGATATTTGTTTTTACTCCTAGTAGTGTTGAATTTCTCTCCCTTCACCCACAGCTTTTGTTTGGCCAGTCTAAGGCCCACGGCTGTATGGTCTTGCCATAGTAAACCCAAAGCAAGAATTGTAGCAATTTTTTAGGTTTGAGCTTCAAAAAGTAATTTTTCCTTTAATAAAAACATTTGTTCATGAACAGATAATTGACACAACAGTTTGATTCCCCAGAATGTGTAATTTTCCTTTTAGTATCAGCCCACCAGGAGGAAAAACGGCATTTTCTGTTTCTGTGTTATTAATAGAAATTTGATTTATAGAAATCGACAAATGAGCCATTTCCAAGCCTTCTGCATGACATTCAGGTTATTAGACTAAAACAGCAGGAAAATTTAGGGTCTATTTAAAACATTAGCAGTCTTATTCTTGAATGGGCAGGACATTGAAAATTAAAGTGTTCATACTATATGCATAACTTGCTGTATTATTATTGTTTTGCAGCTGTTTATTGCAGCATTTTCAAGTAGGAGATGGCAGAAATCAGCTCACCAGCAAACATCAAAGAAAAGGTACAATTTTTAATGATCACATCATGCAGCACACAGTACATATAGATCAGTCCATTCAAACCTTAAACACTCCAGCTTTCCATAGAAGATGAAATAATTAGTCGATAGTCCCATGCTTGGTGGATGTCCTTGAGCTACCTGCCCTCCATTCCGACTTCAGCCAAGGACATTTAAATTCTACTTCTTGATAACAAGAATGAATCTCAGTTGTTTCTATATAACAATCCCCTTTCCTGTTTGGAGCTCATCTCCAAGCTTTGGTTATCTGGATAATATGAAAAGGAAATCCTAACTTGCATATGTGCTTGATCTTAATATCATATTATCTATTGCACATACACACAGAGAATCTAACTTTTAATGAGCTCAAAGTGATGTACATTGTATCATTCATTATTTAGTATTTGCAGCAACACCATCAGGGGTTGAGTATCTAATGAACTCCATGTTTGATTGGGAATTTGAATTGGGTTTTCTTGTCACAGTCCAGCATTCCAAACACTACCTTATATCAATTGATATATGTCCTCTCATTACTGAAGTATTTTTTTTTGTCAGTAGCTAGGACTTTTTTGGACATGCAATTTTAATACCTTGTATGGTTTTATATAATCAGTATTATTCCTACATTCAGCATCTTCCTCCTAGTTAATTAAATTTATATTTATCATGTATCTTCATAGAAGTCAAGCCCATTTTCTTTTAGGGCATGTCTTCATTTTCCCCAGGATAGTTTTCCCTATTAATTAATTGCCTGTCCTGTCTTCATCATGCTCTATTGCGTTTGCTTCTCCTTTGTGGTTAGATGCAGGAGATGACAGGATACATGCATCCTTATAAAATGTTGACATAATAGAGAATGTCAGCAGCAGGGGTGAAATGTTCCCGGTTCGGACCGGATTGCTTGATCCGGTAGCGATGGAGGCGGGTGGTTTGGAGAACTGGTAGCAAAAATCACTACCCCCCCCCCCCATTGCCCAGCTGAGCAGTGCAATCATCAAAGGCTTTTTTTTTATTTTTAAAAGCATTTTTTTTACAACCTCTTCAGCGGAAGAGGTTATAGAAAAAATGGTTTTAAAAGTAAAAAACAAAAGTTGGCCACGCAGTCATATTACCCCCCCACCAAGCCACGCCCACAGAACCGGTAGTAACAAATTTTACATTTTACCACTGGTCAGCAGGTATAATTTAACACGCAAATTAGACCCACTGAAATCCTCAATTTTATTTGTTATCAATTAACGCATAAGGTTCTGCATATTTAAGACTTATGAGGAACACAAATTTTGCAGCTATTAAACAAAAATAAGAATTAAGATAATTAAAAATTCCAAAATCAAGGCAAAGTAAAAGCTAACCTTTTTTTTACATTTTATTTTATTTATTTATTCATTGGCAAAAGCCAACTTTTATTAAACTATCACAACTTTAACACAAATCAGTGACACTTTAAAAAACATTTGGAGGGATATTGATGGTTGGAAAGTGAGTTAAGCAACAACAAGAGCCTTGATAGTACAGTGGTCTAAGCACCCTGTTATTAACACAGCTGCCTGCAATTTACTGCTGGTTCGAATCTCTCCAAGGCTCAAGGTTGACTCAGCCTTCCATCCTTTCTAAGGTAGGTGAAATGAGGACCCAGTTTGTGGGGGCAATAAGCTGACTTTGTATAAATATACAAAAGTATGAAGGCTATTGCTTAACGCATTGTAAGCCGCCCTGAGTCTCCGGAGAAGGGCGGCATATAAATCAAATTTTAAAAAAACAACAACATACATGTAGCTGGTGGGATTTTTTTTATTAACAAGTGGATGGATGGATGGATGGATGGATGGATGGATTATCTGCCATCAAAAGTCAGTGTTGACTCTTAGTGACCACATAGATCAGGAGTGTCAAACTCACGTCTTTAGGTTGTCATCATGTTACGTATCGCAACTTCCCCCCCTTTGCTAAAACAGGGGTGGGGGTGGCCAGCGTGTGATGCATCTGGCGGCGAGTTTGACATCCCTGACATAGATTTTCTCTATAATCTGCCGTTCAAGTTTTCCAATATTGCACCTATTGCCACTGTAACTGTGTCTTTCCATCTTGCCACTGGTCATACTTCATTCCACTTTCCCTAACATCAGAATCCTTTCTAGAGACCTAGCTCTTACATAATGTGTCTGAAGTATGGGACAGAGATATTTTTATCATTGTCTGTTCTTTGCCCATTTTAACTGGTATAGTCACAGTTCTGCAATAACCTGAGCTAAATAGAAAGCACATCAGTGGTGGGTTTCAAATTCAAATTTTTATACTACTGGTTCTGTGGATGTGGCTTGGTGGGCATGGCTTGGTGGGTGTGGCAGGGGAAGGATACTGTAAAATCTCTATTCCCGCCCCACTCCAGGGGAAGGTTACTGCAAAATCCCTATTTCCTCCCAATCAGCTAGGACATGGGAGGGAGAGAATAGGTGGGGGCAGGGCCAGTCAGAATTTTTACTACTGGTTCTCCAAATTAGTCAAAATTTCCACTACCAGTTCTCCAAAACTGGTCAGAACCTGCTGAAACCCACCTCTGAAGCACATCTCTGAAAATTTCCATCTTGCATATCATGTATTATCCTAGAAGAGGCATAATGGTTAGACCGGTTGGATAGCCAGATGAAAGCAGACAACAGGGCTTGTGGGACATTTTAGTTTTGTTGAAAATTTACAGCGTGAAAATGCTATTTATCAAATTTGAAATGTCAAAAGCCTATCTAGGCTGGCACAGCGTGTATAAACAGCTGCCCTTGGGTACCATTGTCTGAAAAGCTGGTCAAAATTTAACAAGCAACTGCAGGATGCAAATAAACGGAAATGTCAGGACTAATTTTCAGGTGGAAAGAGGAAAAAGTTGCTGCCAAGAAAGGGGGAAGCAGCTGTAGCTTAACTGCAATGTGGGATTTATCAGACATGTAGCAAAAAAGGGGGAACCAATTTTCACATGTTCTTTCAATTGTACCACTAGCATTACAAGATTCTAATTATTTTATACAAATAGGGCTATTGCAAGCCTGAAAGATAATTGTAAATTCGTAATACAAAAATACAACACAAATTTGTCTTTTGATTTGCATTTGTTTTGCATTAGTAGCCCTCTCCTTGTTTCAAACTGTATTTTTCTCTCTTACTTGCAGATTAATGCAGTGCGTTCAGTTGTTCCCAACAAAAGCAACAATGAGATAGTGCTGGTGTTACAGCAGTTTGATAACAATGTAAACAAGACAGTACAAGCTTTTATGGATGGTCTGTATGCTTTTCGCATTTCACTGTGTCTTCAGAAACAAGCATTAATTGCTAAATATTTCATTCTTTGTATAGGTGAAATAAAGGCTGTGTGTCCTATTAAAAGGCAATATTCAACATTTCTTGAAAGGAGACAATTCTTGTGTTGTCACTTGAGAAGGGATTTATAAGCATCACCAATAAGCCTCAGATAGAAATTATCAGAAAATGTTCATCTTCTTAATAGTAACCTGCAGAATCCAAGAAAATCCAATAAAAAATATTTCGGGGGGAGATGGTGGGGGGGGGGATGCCATAAAGTTGACTTTACTTTATGGCTGCTTTGCTGATAATTTAGAAAGGTTACAAAGACAGACCCACTGAGGAAAAAATAATTTTAATAAGAAATGAATGAGATAGTACCAAACTCTGGTGGCTAAAGAAACCAAACCTGTCTCTTAACTGTAGAGAAGTATTCTTGATGCATCTCAGAATTGCAAGGGCAGCTCTTAAAAATTTGGACACCTTCCAGAGTATTAAACAATCAGTAGCTCTTTAAGATGCAGAGATGCAGATTACAGAGCCGAGGTGGCGCAGTGGTTAGAGTGCTGGGCTGCAGTTACTTCAGCTGACCGCTAGTTCAACAGATCAGCAGATCAAATCTCACCGGCTCAAGGTTGACTCAGCCTTCCATCCTTCCGAGGTGGGTAAAATGAGGACCCAGATTGTTGGGGGCAATATGCTATTTAGTATACTGTCTTTGTTGTAAGCCGTCCAGAGTCCTCGGACAGTGAGCGGCATAGAAATATGAATAATAAAATAAAAAATAAAATAAATAAAGATGGGGAACTCTTCTGAGCCACTATTATTGCTTATTGTATATTCATCATTCCTTTTCTTCTCCTCTTCAGGTAGCGCACTTCAATTTCTAAAAGAATGGAATATGACTGGGAAAAAGAAGGTAATAGATTCCAAAGCTGAGTTAACTACTTAAACTGATATCTGCATAAATTTCCAGTTTGGTCTAGTGATTAAAGCACTACAGTAGAAAGTAGGGAATCAGTGAGTTCTAGTCCCGCCTTAGCCATGAAAGCAATCTGGGTGACTTTGGGCCACTTGCTCTCTGTCAGCCCAACTCGCTGCACTGGGTTGCTGGCGTAAGGAAAACAGGAAGAAAAAGGTGTGTTGGAACTGTTCTCTACCTTAAGTTATTTGTAAAAATAATAAAGGCAGGATAATGGTAATGCTAATGATTTCCCCTGTCCAGTGAGTCAGTGCTCATCTCCGTTTCTTAGCTGAGGGAGCTAGCGTTGTCTGAAGATGCTTCCGTGGTCATATGGCCAGCATGACTATATGCTGAGGCACACAGAATGCTGTTACCTTCCCACTGAAGTGGTACCTATTTATCTGCCTGCATTTGCATGTTTTCAAACTGCTAGGTGGGCAGGAGCTGGGGAAAGTAACAGGAGCAGGGACTTGAACCAAGGCTGCCAACTGAAAACTCAGACTCTTTAACCACCGAGCTATTGTACCCACAAAGGATAGATAGATAGATAGATAGATAGATAGATAGATAGATAGATAGATAGATAGATAGATAGATAGATCTGAGCAACTGATTTGTTGCCATAGTTTTTTGCCACTTGTTTTGTTTTTAGTGAGCACAGTTTTACATCTGCACACAAGAGGTTTCATAATCAATAGGCACTTTTAGTTTTAATTATTCCTTGAAGTTGCCATTTGTGTACTTGCAGAGTGTCCTGGATAATTTGATAGAAAATCAAACAATTGAAGTAGCCCACCCTGTTGAATCTTTGAAGATTTATTTTTTAAAAAATAAACAGTTCTTCTCTGTTAACTTATCCTTGAATAATAATTTTAAAAAAATTACAGTAAATAATAAGCATAATAAGCGTTATAAGCTCCTATTGCAATTATATAGGGATGGCTACCAAGATAAAGCCACACAAACTAATGAAGATAAGTTGACAACAGCCCAATAAAGCTATATCGATGTTCTTTATGGCATATGTATCCCACCTGATACTAAGAAACCATCTCTTTTTTTGTTGCTATGATCTTGCTCTATCCAAACTAATACTAACATTAAACACTAGTTCAAACATTAGTTTTTTGTTTTTTTTTTAATTTAGATTTATATGCTGCCCTTATCCGGAGACTCAGGGCGGCTTACAATGCGCTAAGCAATAGCCTTCATTCTTTTGTATATTTATACAAAGTCAGCTTATTGCCCCCACAACTGGGTCCAACACTGCGTCCAAACTAAACTGGACCCAGTGTGGAGCTCCTCACTCTTGTGGGGGGAGGAGGAAGTGCGGTTATATGGAGATATACATATAGACATAGAGAGAGTCTATGATACAGATATAATCAAAATTAAAGCACTATGATAGGATGACAATTCCACCCACTTTTTAAACTTGTACATAAGAAACAGGGGCAACTTTGTTTGCTTCATTGTGGCCACCATCTTAGTTTCTTTTACCATATTCTTTAGAAATCCTTGCGCACACATATATAACAATTATTTTCAACAGACAAGAAAACTCTGGTGGCCCTGTTTAGATCAAAGATTTTAGCTAGTGCTTCTCACTTTTATTTATACAATTTTAACTTTGATTATTAAGTAGACTCTATGGGGCATGGAGACTTATTACAATTAATCCAACACTTGCAAAACTTAATCGATAATTCTAGAGATAACATTCTTCAAGAAAAAAATCCCTTTTTCTCCTTTTATGTACCAGTGACTGAATAAAATAGACAAAATTTTAAAAAACATTTTAGGAGAGCTAAATAGGCTATATGCTTTTAAAAATAATTTTATTTAAACATCCAATGCTCAGTTGTAACCGTTTGCAATTATTTTATCACCTTGTTTCCTTTATGTCGTATGTATTTCAAGAAACATGAATGAAGCCCTGATAATAAAAATTACATTTAGTACATTGAATAGAATTTGCAGTGGAAAGAAAGAAGTGTGGGTGGATTTGTTTTTTACTCCACACAGCATGACCCGTGTGGAGTAATATTGCTAACCTTATTTAATGCAGAACAGCAAAAGAAAAAGAAGCAAATCAAAGCAACATCACCGTAACAAAGATACAAAGGGTAGAGAGGATGGAACAGAAAAGGTGTCTCTGGAATCCCAAGACGTAAATGACTGCCAGGTGAATGGCTGTGCTAAAGATACTTTCCCTGGCAAATATGCCAGTGAAAAATCAAAAAATCCTCATGAAGAAAAGAGCTGGGAATACAAGAACAGGAGAGAGGCAAGACCAGAAATAACAGGTCAGTGTCTGTATGTTAAGATCAGCTTGATTTCCACCATTGTCATTCAGCCAGGATTTAAGTACTTTAATATATGTTTTTAGTTTTAGCTTGGATATTGATTTGAAAATGTGAATTGACATTCAGATGTGGGCTAAACCAATTTCTCCCATATCCTATCTTATATAATTAGTCTCACAGCTTTTGCTTCCTTCTTCTTTTTAGTCTCCTTAGAAGTGGTTTTCTTAAGTATTTTCTGTACAGTATTTCATAACGCAGAGCACCTGCTTGATCTCGGCATGTATAATATGTCCTTTTCTCCACATTATTGGCTGCTGCTGCTTTTCTGTCCTCTGGTACCATTTTTCTTGCTTCCCTCTTTACTTTGGGCATTTTTGTCACTTGTTCTAATCAGCAAAGTAGTTGGAATATAATATTGCTTGCTGGAATTAAAAAGTTTTAATTAAATTTTTATTGAGAAGGTATGCTTTTTTTGTCTCATAACATAACTTGATTGATTGTACCTGAAGCTTAGCAACCTCTCTTCAGGCAATCTGAAAAAGACAGTTCTGCAAATAAATCCTATTGAAATAATTTCTGCTTTAGTTCAGTATTTCTTTCTGTTTATTGTCCAAGATTAATATTATTATTTATTAACTATTTGTCGCCCATCTTGTCACAAGACTATTTCTGATCTTGCTTGCATATCATTTGTATTGTTTTATTTATTTGTTTTTCTAGACAAAAAAGAAGAATCTACAAAAGTATCTATAGAGCCAGAACAAAACAGCAGAGAGCTTCCTGATCCTTTCCAATATTCACCACCACTTCAGTGCAATGTTGGTAGAACAAAATCAAAAGTTCTAGCTACCACCGTTAAATCACTGCAAGTCCCGGCATCTCATGTTGAAATGAAAGCAGAAGATTCAGCCCAAAAAAGAGGTAACACAGATTATGATTCAATTTGGCTGGATAAAGATTCATTACTGTTCCCAGCTAATATTACTGTAAATGCAACATCACCATTCATTTCAGAAGCGAATGTAATTATATTTTGCCTATCCTGTAAAAGTAAATGTATTTCTTATCTTATAGACAAACATCTTCGGGAGCATCTGCCTCAAGTCACAAAATCACCTTATTAGTTTATTATATATTATAATATAATTATTATGAATGAAGATGAATAGATGTGTCCCAGGATATGTTGCAGGATTCAATCTGGGTCAGTGACCAGAACCAGAGGTTTAGTCTTCTGAGTTTTCGGACTTGTGCTGGAACCCATCCTCAAGGAACTTCTCTCTAACAGAGTCTGTGCTTTGGTTATTCTCTGTGTAGTGTTTATATGGTGCCTGTTGTGTGTAGCTTTTTAGATGTTGATTGAGGTGTTGATGATTGGCTATTAAGTTGTTGGCTGTTGTTTCCTTGGGCTGCCAAGCCCTCACCTCCTAAGTACTTGTACAAGTACTTGTTGTACACATTGAATAGCCCAAAGCACAGACTCTGCCAGAGAGAAGTTCCCTGAGGATGGGTTCCAGCACGAATCTGAAAGCTCAGAAGACTAACCTCTGATCCCGCTGACTGACCCAGATTGGATCCTGTATAATTATTACAATGAGACTCCTTCTGCAGCTTCTGTCTCTTGTACCACTTTCTACCAGCTGAAGTTAGATCAGGGTGATGTATTTGTAGCCTCTTTGTCCTTAACCTCCAGAATTTCCTGGTCTCCCTCAATTACACAGAAGATTAGAAGAATAACCTGAATGAGGTTAATGCTAAATGAAATTAATGACCGATAAGGGCAAAGAGGAAAGACAGATGGAAAACCCCCAGAGACTAAGTGCAGGCAAACATGCATGAGAGGAAGAGCCATTCATTGCTGGAGTTAATTAGATGAAACCCTGGGTTGATGTAAGGGTAGTGAATTTGTTTTATGTAAAATAAATATTGGAATATTCAGCATGATTTTTAAGTCACAAATAAGATATTGCAAAATAGGAAGTAATTTAATCTTTTTGAACTAGAAGCAAGTAATTTTACTAGTGAAGGATCAACATCCAGTTGCAAAAGGGAAACATGCTATAATACTTCTTTTTGTGACAAAATTGAAATGTTATGGTTTGCAATAATGGTGCTGCATCAAATAATCATTTTTTTAAAACTGTAAGAAAGAGAAAAATCAATGTACTGATGGACAGTAACTACTTTCTTCTGTACTATACTATAAAAAGTCCATTTGTTCACACAGAACATTCTTTGTGGATTTTTCTTTATAACTGTAATATAAATTGTCAAGATAATTTAGAGATACAATGTGTGTAGTGTTTAAAGATTTTTTTTTAATCTACTTTTTATAGATTCTTTTTTCTATTTTTTTCAATTATTTTCTAAAATTGTTAAATTTTATAAAACATACCCTGTATAATTACAAAATAACTTTTTAATATATCTATAATGAGTATTGTATAACTGTTTGCATGTTTGCTTCATAGATATCTGATCTTTTTTTAATCAAGGTTGTTAGTGAAATAGCAATTGATGAGGCAATGTGTTTTAGTGATTGAAGTGTTGAATGAAGAACAGGGAGGTCATTATCAACATGAAAGTTCTTTGTATGATTTTGGTTCAACCAAAAATGTAGAGGTAAAATTGAAGGAGGGAATGCAAGGTGCCCTGCCTTAAGCTCCTGGAGAAAAACTGGAATATAAATGTAGCATACTAAGGATGACGGCAGTTTCTTCTTATAGGTCTAAATATTGAGAAATCTGTTAAAGATCTTCAGCGCTGCACTGTTTCACTGACTCGATACCGCATGATGGTCAAAGAGGAAGTGGATAATTCAGTAAAGAAAATTAAAGCTGCTTTTTCTGAATTACATAACAGGTAAGTAGAATGGTTTAATTGTTTTACAAAAGATACTGTTCTCCTCTCACTCTATAAGGAAGACTTTTTTTGCTGCTTCAATTGACTCCTCAATTTCATATTCCCACACTTTCATTCTAAGTAAGTAGGAATGGCCTATATTTAAGACCATGGAACAGCTGCTATGGTGTTTCCCAGTTTTTTCTTTATGTGGACCACTTCATCACCAGTTTAAGATTTTGTGGACTATCACAAAAATCAGGAACCAGACATGTGATATTGAAGCAAGAATGTTTTTCACATAAAAAGGGGTGGAGAGGTGCAGTGAATGGCATTGCTGTAGACTAGATTTAGACACATTTTATCCTTTCTTCTTCGATAATTTACCTTTTTTTGTCTATTTCTTACTTTCTGTGCTCAGTAGTAGTTCTCAGTTAACGACAGTAATTGGGACCAGAATTTCCATCATTAAGTAATGCCATGTAAAGGATATGCCATGTGACTGCATCACTTAGTAACAGCAGTCCCAGCATTGTTTTTTGCCATTGTTAAGTGAGAATCATAGGTTGTTAAGCAAGTTCCAGGTCGCTTGCAAGTAGGCCAGCAGGCAGGTAAAATGGTTGCTGCCAGGCAGGAGAGAGTGTGAAGGTATCTCAGAAAGCTCAACGCAAGCAGAGCAGGTCCAGGGATGGCTGCTGCTGGAAGGAGGAAGGTGTGAATAACTTATCACAGCAACTTGGAATCTTCTTGCTAGCTTCCCATTGACTTTGTTATGAGAAATTGTCAGGGCAATAATGTGACTGCGGGACACTATGCCTACCATAAATAAAAGCCAATTACCAAGCCCTAGGTCATGATCACATGACCTGGGACGGCTGGCACCTCAAGGACCGGTCATAAGTACCACTTGTTCAGTGCTGTCATAACTTCAAACACTGAAGAAGTGGTTGTTAAACAAGGACTGCCTGTACAACAAAATGTGTTCCATGTGACAAGTGCTACCTGATTCTGACTTTTGGCTATCTTAGATTAAAATGAGCCGCCTTCTACAATATCTATACTGTAAAGATCAGATGAAGTAGTAAATGAAAGAGCATCACAGTATAACTGAGCTTAGAGACAAGAGCTCCATGGACAGAAAAACTATTGTGTGTGTGTGTATGTGTGTTTGTTTGTTTGTTTTTTAGCAGGGGCCCAGTTTCATTAAAATAAGAAAGGTTGGAAATAAGTAAATTTTGCACTTACCTAATTTTAAGAACATTGAACTCCATTTGCTAGAATAATTCTTCCATGTTTGAATCTTCTATTAAAATTACTTTTTGCAGCCAGAATAAGAATGAGGTTCACTATGCAAATCTTGAGCATTGTGCCAATAGAATTCAGTTGATATAATAATGGAACAGTGCTATATTCCAAACCATCACAAAAATACATAATGTAACAACTATCCTCCAGAATCTTAGCTGAATAAAAGGTGTGCTCATTTTTTTTCCTAGCGAGGCAACATTTCTATTCATTACTTATTCGACCGAGCTTCTAATCACTTTTCTAGATCTGCAATCATATATATATTTGCATTAAGCACCCAAATAATTCTTGTCCTTTATTAGGTATATTCTGCTGAAAAGATGCAAAATTTATGTTTTATGAAGGTGTCTGTTTTGGTGATAGATCAAATTACTTGGGCCACATTTTCCCCCCTGGGCTGATAAAAAAAAAATAAGAGTTTTCATTGCCAACCATTATGCATTAAATTAACATCATACTTCCAAACTTCTCTAAGGGCTCTCTAATGGCCTTTCCCACAGCCCCAAAATGCCCTGACCATGGCTCTTTTTGCAGTTGTAACTCCATTCTTTTTCCCTCCTCTTATCCACAGCCCTTGAGTTGAGTAAGTTATCCTTGGCTCTATTAAATATTTAAGAAACATTTTCTGCTTTATTCCAATATCATCCATCCTTAAGACTATAAAGTCTGGTACATTTTAATCCATGATGATAACAAAAATTCTTTATAGCATTTATAAAACTTTAGTCTATTGCTATGTGGTCCAGAGTCTTCATTTGTTTTCATATTTATAAAAACTTTCTTTAGTTTTTCAAAATCTATTATTCTTCCTAGCTTTCATCTCAAGTAGTATAGCTGGATTATTGCTATCTATTTATTTTAACAGAGTCTGATTATTTATTATGTCTGATTATAGGTATTTAATGCATTATCCAATTACAACTGCTTTAAGCACCTTGTATTGAATAGAATCATGTAGTCAAGTTTACAAGATTTTCAAAAAAATTCTGAATTTGTGTATCTAATTTTCACACATCTCTGCAGCTACCCAGCTCTCCTTGCCATAAGTTACAGTAGTCTCAGAAAATCTCCAACCAGGAGAAGTGAGGTGAGCCACTAAGTGGGGCCTGTCTCATGCACAGGAAGCATTTCCCATCAGCTAAAAGCCAGTTTGGATCATCCAATCCCAGTTAGCAAAATGGAGCAAAATAAGCATTTTCAGATATCTCTACCTGAAAGGAAAGAGCAACCAAGACAAATATTGGCCTTGACAAAGTATTTAGAAGTTACATCTTGAAATAAAACAATTGTTTAAAGGGATTAATTCCAAAGCAAATATGGGAGCCTGGATACAGCATTTTTTATCTGCAGAAAGAGCTTATGTAAATACCCTATGTTAAATTATAATTTTGCCCTCTTAAAAAATCTATCTGCCTATTAGAAATTTCCATTCCTTCCTGGTGAATTCTAAGTTACAAAGAGAGAGACTTTTAAACATTTAAATGTTTCTTAAAAGGAGTGTGTACTGAAGGAGAAGGGTACCAGCTAATGCAATAATTGTGTGAATGATCTTGGTACAATATAATGCTACTTAATATGTATAGAGTGCCATCTGCAGGAAGACGTTGGCAATTGTGTAAGTTGTTTCTTAAGCAACGTATTTAAGTCAATTCCATCCATAAAACAAGAGGTTCTCAAAAGCAAAGTGGGTAATTTAATGAAACTCAATCAATGTCCCAAAGCACAAAGCATTTTACAAACTGAAACTGCATCAATGGAAGAAACATTTTGTCAAAGCCCAGAGGATTCTGGGATGTGTTTGATCAAACTGTTTTTTACACCTCAAAACATCTCTTTTGTGTCTTTTCTTATCCTCTTGAGTTATAGTGCAGAAAAAGATGCATTAATCAATGTGGCAGTTTGCTAAGTATTTAACAATATAAAGCAATATAGTAATAGGAAAATTAGACAGTGTGTATAAACTGGCAAGCCACAATGAGCTCGTATATAGTGTTTCCTTTTAACTTATAGATTGGATGGGGAATTGTACAGCAGCAAAATATGTCATGTAGATCAGTAAATGTCCAATGTGTTACTACTTTCCATATTTCTTTATATTAGGATACACTTTTAGAATAAAGAATAACATAGTTGGAGGGACTAAATTTGAAGTTTCTAAAATCCCATTTATCAGGTTAAATGAACCAAGAGAACATCAGCAGAGAAGATGAAACCATGTTCAGTTGGTTGACATACTCAAATGATTTGGTTTAAGTCCATGTCTAGTGAGTTTAAGGATCATAAGAATGTAACACTAATACAAATAACTGAACATATGGGCAAAAGCATTGTATTATTAGCCAGATTGCATTTACTTTTGTTTTGTTTGTAATGGTTTAATGATGGATCTCTATTATACTAATACAGAAAGAACTAGATCTGTTGTAATGAAGTAATGTGTTTGATGAATCTGAAGCAAAAAGAAAGTTGATTTCTTAAATTTTTATTTAAATTATTTTTCTCCAGAAAGCAATATTTTTCACAACTCTTACCATAAATTCTGTTTTAAAACCTTTTTGAAGGACATATTTAATCAAGTCTCTTATCAATATTGTCCTAAATTAAATTGTTTCCATTTCAGTATCATCGACAAGGAAGTGGCTTTAATGGCAGAAGTCGACAAGGTTAAACAAGAAGCCAGTAAGTAGAAATTAAAATTAAAATGGCAAAGGTTATTTCAAAAATAACTTTGAATATCATATACATTTCAATTTGGCCATAAATTTCCCCAGCTACCGTAATATCGCAGAGACTGAAGAATAATTTGGTTGCTATGCATTCAACATTTAGGTGTTTGGAACTTACCACTGATTGGAGAGTAAACAATGAAATATTTCTAACAGTGAAGATGGGTCCTTTCTTTAATTGCAAAAATGTTGTTGTTTTAACTATTTAATCATGTTCAACTTTTGGCGACTTTATAGGCAAGTGCTCTCAATGCTACCCTGTAGAGCACTTTCTTTCAGTTGTTGGATGTTCATCTTTGTATCCGTTTTGATGTTATGAAGCCAGCAAGTTCTTTGTTTGCCCGTTCTTGTTCCACTAACCATTCCTAACATCATTGACTTCTCCAATGAATTTGGATGCATGACCGTGTGTACAGGTCCACTATTATCTTACTAAGGCAGTGTGGTCTAAATTAATAAGATAAAAATATAAATCCAATGCATGATATTCCTCCATATTTTTCATACTAGAAATTTAAAAAAAATCAAATAATGCTTGCTAAATAAGGTCAAGCTAACAGTGGCAGAAGGAAAAGAAAAAAATTGAGATTAAAAGGCTTAGGGCTATTACGTCTTTGCAGAGGACTGATAAAATAGTTACTTGGGTTAAGTTGGTTTCCAGTACTGTACCAACAGATTTGGGATGATTCCTGCCTCTCTTTTAAATCATTCACTTTTCTTGGGAAAAGGCATTCCTGGAAGTTGCAGTAGAAAAGAGAAAGTCTAGAATTTTCCCAGGGTGAATGGAAAACTGTTAACATAGACTTGGGGGTGGGGTGGGGGGAATAATCCCACTCTGAGCTTTTTAGAGAAAGGCAAGATACAGATAATGTAACATAAGAAAGAAAGAAGTAATTTCATGCATTGAGAGGTCACTTAATTTTTCATAGTGGTTATCTCTTCCACATGAGCATTTAACATTTTGCATTGTCCTTTTTTCTTTGATAGTGGATATTTTGACTGCACGTCAGAAAAAAGCTGAAGAATTAAAGAGATTAACAGATTTGGCAAGTCAGATGGCCGAGATTCAGCTGGCTGAATTGCGAGCTGAAATTAAGGTCAGCTTTAAAAGGGTATTTCTCTTTAAAATAAGCATAGCTGTATACAAGTAATGCATCTCTATTTCAGCACTTTGAGCCACAGGTGCTCACCACAAGGCTCAAGCAAAGTATAAAACTAGCTTTTTAAGAATGTCATCTTACTTAAAACTGTGCTCTCTCTCTTGTATTTTGTAGTAAGAGTAATAACAGTATTCAGATTCATGGAAGCATAGTAACATTCCTGCTTTTCTTTCCAGTTCTATTAAAGTTGCAGAGATTTTTTTTTTTCTTTTGGGCCTCATGCTTAATTCCCTTGTATAACTGTAGTTATTTTTTTCCGGCGACAAGCACTCCCTCTATCAAATGTGAGGTTAAGGTATTGTACTACTGATTCTGAATCAGATTTTACAATAGCATTTTACAAAATATAAAAAATATCCAAACTTTCTAAGATTGGAACACTTATCTCCTTCAAAAGCTTTTGTTCAACACATTAGACTTCAATGTGATTTTTTAGTTATTTAATCCTGTGAGGCTATTTATGTTACTTTTCCCTTCATTGTAGCACTTTGTAAGTGAACGTAAATATGATGAAGAATTGGGTAGAGCTGCCCGCTTTTCCTGTGACACTGAACAGTTAAAAATGCAGATATTACAGTGTGGAGAAAGTAAGTTGTAGTAAAGTCTCAGCTTCTTCGTTAATTGCTCTTTAAAACACTTGTTAGAACCATTTTCATAGCTAGTAAATATAATGTACGCACTGCCTTTGGTTTAATTTTTCTGGAATTCATGTCAATATATTATATGATAAAATTTGCATTTTCCTTTGTAGTTTTCCATCCAAAAAACAATTACTCCTCTAGAACACCATCCAGTATGTTGCTTCAATCAGAAATTTCAAAATCAGTGACCAGCATGCGAAATACACATAACAAAAAATATTCTAATCAGACTCCCACCAAGACTTCTGATCACAAAACAGCAATAACTAAAGGTTCAAGCCAAGTTCTCCCGGTTACAGAATCCTCTTCTCATGTAATTTCAACATATAAACAGGTAAAAGGCCAAGGAAAAAGTTTTGTCTATGAATCAGCATAAAAATTATAAAAATAAAAATTTACAACTGTATGAGAAACACCTTATAGACACATAGTTGAGATTATTTTCATCAGGTCAATTTCTTCCCAAATTCTGAAATTCTTTTAAATGCTGTATTATTAAAAGATTCTAGATTCTGTAACATCTTTGGATTTGATTTAGGTACTGTAAGTGACACCTTTCAGCTAATTCTTCTTAAAATTTAACATGAGTAAAATATACATTCTTTTTCGGTCCAAAATGAGCCACATTGATGAGCTGCATTGATTAATGAATTGAAGAGATCACAATTATGGCTTAATCTCACATCCATATATAAATCCTTTTCTGTCTTTCACTTATACCAACTCTATCTAGCTGATTAAATGTCTCCAGAACAATGAATGAGTGAGTGAGTGAATGAATGAATGAATGAATGATGTGTTACTTAATTCTTTTGGAAAACAATCTATTGTTCCAAAACCGTTTTGGAATAGGCTTAAGTGTTGTTATGTCCAGGTTTATTCAGTGATGGCTATAAATCTGTCTTCATCTATGACTAATCAATTTGGGGTTCTCTTAGAAATAATGACTCCTGTTAAAAGAGCAGGTGGGCTACCATGGACACGGGTCCTTTGCACAAATTTATCTTGTGTGCCAATTGCACCCATTCCTGGACTAGTGCTGCATCCATTCCTGGACCAAATACTGAACACTGAAAATGTTTCATTTTCCGAAACATGGTAAAGTTGAGCTATGCCAGGCCTGGTGTCATTTTGTCTGTCAGAGGAATGCAATTACTAATAATTCAACCAAATTGCCAATAATTAGTTTATTGTTTTATCTCCCAACCTGCCCCCAGTTCCCCCAAGAAGAAACTAGGGAAGGATATGATTTTATACTTCCAGCCAGTAGAGGCAGCAAAGTTGATGAGGTCATTAGAACAGTGTCAACGACTGCGGTGCTGACATGCATAATATAATAGATATGTTTTGGTAGAGATAATAATCCCACCCAACTTTTACCAAACTGAACTGAAATTGCACTGAAATGAGTCCTGATATTCTTTTTTCTTCCTGGACAGAATGTGCCTTCAGGTCCGAGACGAAGATTTCATGCACACTACCACAGCATTCAAATCAATGGTTCTCTCAAGCCCCCAAATCCTGGTGATGAGTCTGATCAGAGCAACCCAAAGAGTCACTCCCGACATGAATACCGACGGCAGCACCATCATAGCTTTAGGCCCAAAAACAGAGGCATGGTAAAAACTCAAGAGCAACCAACGCCCATAAAAAATCTAGACAAGGGAGCATACCCAGAGAAAGCACAGCAAAAGCATCTTATTCCAGGCCCTACAGAGCCGAGTCCTTTGTGCAGCAATATAGCAAGGGGTTCTCCCTGTAATTTATGTCCTTCCATAATAGAGTCTTCTGGAGAGACATCTGTCCTTTCAGTCACCGTGCCAGCTGTGACTTTGGTGGCATGATAACAGTAATCTTAGTTTTTTCACTAAAGGTGCTTCTCCCCCCCCCCCCCCGCCCCCCGTTGTGTACTCCATGAATACTGGAGAAACAGCTTGAGAAAAATATTACAATTGTGGTAAACCAAACTTGCTAAAATGATCTTAACTTTATCTTGTTTTCTACATGAAAAGCTTTGCTCAATATACTCAAGATTATTTTTTCATAATAATGCAGCTTTAGCCAGCAGTATTTACTAGATCTACTAGACTGATGTTGAAAAATAAACTGTAAGAGGATGTCATTACAGATGTTAATTACTGCCCAGTTTGTTTTCAGTCATTCAGTATTAAAGAAGTAAAATATTGGCATCTCTAATAGTGGACTGTTATGTAAATACATAACATTTTTCACGCTTCCCATATTAAGGTAGAATTCAACAATTATACGTGACAAATCTCATAGTTCTGTGTGACCTAATGTCATATCCAGAAAAATACTTAAGATTAATCATAATAGTAGAAAAACTATATATTAATTGTTCCATGCTGTAATATTTGTAAAATGTCTTTTTTTTTCCATTTGAAATTTATATAACTTACACAGTACAGTTTTTCCAAACCTTTCAGTTCTTTTTAATGACTGATTATTTTTGTGGACTAAAAATTGAATGTATTTCAGTCTCAGATTCTTTCTTCTTTTTTGGGGGGGGGAGGGGAGCTATTCCTACACTTATTTGAGAAGTTCAAAAGGGCATACTTAACATTCCCACTAATACTATTGCAATAGGCTACTTCATCTTCCACCAGCGCTCTTGGGCCTCTGATCCAATTACTGCAAAATTACTGTTTTCGCTGGCAGAGGGTTGCAGGAGGCCGTCGCAGCAAAAAATAGCCATTTACCGGGCAGAGCATTCGTCAGGTGCCCCTGACACAAGTGACGTTGAACTGGCCACCCCCACCCTGGCCCCCCAATGTCAAACACAACCCTGATGCAACCCTCAATGAAGTCAAGTTTGACACCACTGAATTACTGTAACCATCTTTGCTGGGAGGGGGAAAGGGGGCAAATTCATCTTCCTTCCCATTAGTTATACTATCTCCTTAAACATAAGGAGTCTCACAAATCCTTGTCAAATATGTTAACCAATATAAGCATACTACCTTTTCTTTCTTTGATAAAGCACTTCTCACTCTGTCAAAAATGACAAGGGAGGGGAATTTAGTTTTCCTTTAGGATTTTTATAGCTAGCTTCTGTTTAGTTCTTCAAAAGGAAGACACTGCTTCCAGTCAGTGTCTTCAAAAGGAAAAATAAGTCATACATCTCTGGGCTTAAAAAAATTAAAATATTTCCTTTTAAGAAGTCTCATTTATTGATAGTCAAGTGCCTCTGTTTTACACAGGTTTCTCTTGGTCCAGAAGACCAAAGTCATCCATTAAGGTTAAGGAAAGCCTAAATCTCTAAAAAGTGCCTCTGAATGAATGTCTTGAGCACTGTTGCATATTTGTCTATTTACATTGCTAGGAGAAACAGGTGCCTATTTCCAGAGATAAATGACTTGACCTCCAATGCTCACTCTGTTTCTTTAATACAAGGAGGGGGAATAGCAATCCAGAATGATCCTATGGCTGCTGCAAGATTAAATACTCAGAAAAAAATGACATGCCTGTCGGAAACTAGCCTTCTATAATGCTTACAGCTACATGGAATGTATGGGTACAGTAATCCATTTTCCATTTGCAAAGAAGTGCTCAGCATGCTTTTCAGGTTCTGGGCTCTACCTTTCAAGGGTAATGAGGCCTTGATACTTCAATTCTTCTCTGAAGGGAAAGGAGTTATATGCCAAACAAATTCCCCCCAAAATGAAGTTAGGATATTGACTGAGGAAGGGAGCAGTAATTAGTTCTGTTGGGCTAAATGGGGATGAAAGAATTTTGACATAATTGGAAATAGTGGTGGTATGAAAGTGTCCTAATAGCCTCAAAAGAAGGTATTTTCAAACGTTAAGGTTTTGGGGGAAAATATATTTCTGATGATCCAATATTATTTTCTATGTTCAGATCAGAAGGCTAGGTAGGGAAACAGATTGCTTAGGAAGAACAGAGCAAGTTATAGGGAAATCCCACCATTTAGCAAGAGCAACGTTCCTAGAGAATGTGGAAGAAGAGACTCGAAAGATAATTTTGTCAATAGATAAAAATATTTTCACAGCTGCCTGCATGCTCAGAGAACCTATCTTTGTAAGAATCTCAGCTTTGTTTGTAGTAAGAGTATACCTCAAACCATATTAATATATGTTTAATATAACATAGGGCCCCCATATTAGAGAGAACTCAAAATAATTTGTTAAGGAGGATGCTTGGGGTAAACAATTCCACTTCAGCTGCAGCCGTCAGAGCTGAATTGGGACATTTCTCACTGTACACCTATACAATCACTAGGGCGGTAGCCTACTGGCTAAAAATGACCCAGATGGATACCAGCAGACTCCCTAAAATATGTCTAGAGGAACAGCAGATTTCAAACCCTCAAAGGTATTCTTGGCTAACCCGGCTGTCAGAAATATTGAACCGATATGGTGTAGGGTTCCCGTTGTGTGACACACTGAACCAAGTTAAACAACGGATTAAAGATATACATGGGCAAATGGACATGGCAACCCTTTCAACTAATCATTCCCTTAAACTGCTGACAGCAGTTAAAACAACTTTTACTCTGGAAAAGTATTTATATTTAGAAATGCCATCAGTGGAGAGACAGTTATTTGTTAAGTTTAGATTGAACTTCTAGATACCAACGTTAGATTCAGCCGTTATCGGAAAATCCCGTATGACAAAAGAATATGCATATGTGGGGTAAACGTCGTGGAGGACACGGCGCATATAATATTAGAATGTAGTCTCTATCAAGAAGTAAGAAAACAATATCTGTCCCCAATTATAAATAAATTTCCCCACTGGAATATAAGCCAAAAATTAGCATTTCTGTTGAGGGCTGACTCTCCTCCCCTGGTAAGAGCGATCACTCGATACCTTAAAAGAATGACGGCAATACGAGCCAGTTATATCAAAAAAAAAATTATCGATTGTAAGGAAGATGAGCTCAGTTAGAGAGGAGCTATCCTATTTGGGTTATCTAGTCTTGGCAACTTAGCTATTGAAATTTGATATTGTAAAATTTTAATGTCATCTATCATATATTTTTAGATTGCTATTTTTATAACTTTTATCTTTTTCCCTTTTTCTTTTCTGTTTTCTTTGAAAAGGCCTTCAGGCTATTCAATAAACTATACTAAAATATAACATAGTTAACATCTTCGAAATATGTGGCCATACCTATTGAAAGCAGAACAATGGCAGAGTAAAAACCTTAGTTTCAGGAGGAAGAGACTTTATTGTTCTCTATAGCAATAGCACTTAGATTTATATACCGCTTCATAGTGCTTTACAGTCCTCTCTAAGCGGTTTAGTCAACTTATTCCCCCTAACAATCTGGGTCCTCATTTTACCAATCTCTGAAGGATGGAAGGCTGAGTAGGCCCAGAACAAACTGCCCAAGTTTTCAAAAAATTAAAAAACCTTGGAACACACCCAATCTAGCATAAATAATATTCTAAAATGACCAATGTTCCACATTTAATCTCTATTTCATGATTTATAATGTACCTTACAAAAGTGAACACCAACTGACTACCATCCATCATCTTACTAGAGCATTTTGACTATTTCCAATATTTTTGTGCCACCTGGGATTGTTTTGTCCTCTCAGGTGGTAAAAAGTTTTTGTGGTTAAAAAATAATGATCTTGGAGACTAGTGTCACACATCACCACTCAGCTGGCTATTCTGCAGACCATCTCTGATACTAGTGCACCTCAGAGAAAGGCCCGAATGCTCACAGTTTAATGAGTGACATGTAGAAGTAGCAGTAATCGCAGCAGATGGAAATTGCTGTTTAACTTTCTTCACAACTGATGAAGAATGCTGAGTCTGTAATTCATTACAGAGTGGAGTCCGCTTCAGTTTTATCACCCGGCTGGTTGCAAACTTTCTGGATGAGGGAGACTCTGGGATCATTTGGCCAAGTTCCCTATGGTCAGCATTTCTAAGAGAGGCCTGAGAATTTTTAGTCAATGATACGGTCCTTGCATAAAGAGTTCTGGAAATCTTTTTGCTTGTTAAGGAAGTATCTCTGCTAGGACACTTAAGAGCCATTTGGGCATGTGAAGATGCTGCTATCTTTAAAGAAGCTGAGTTCTTAACTTTGATGTGGGTACTTGTTGAGGGGCCAGAGAATTGAACTGGCTTCCGAACTATTCTGCTATTCAGCTGAGTTTCTTCCTCATCAGGAGAACCAATTATTCGTCTGTAAAAAAATCATTAAGTCCAGTAAAGACAGAAGTAAATATTCAACGTAAGCAAAAAATATTTTTACTCTAATATCTGCCTAAAATGATATATACACATATATTAGACATTTCAAACATCAAGAATGAGGAACTAAGACAACATATTGATACTAATAATCATTTGTATTTGGCATAAACAATAGAAAAATATATTCTTATTTAATACCAAATATAATTTCATCATATTTCCAAGTATATTTTTCTTACATTCATTATTATTACAAAATGGACTTGCACTTTATTTTATAGTAAAGAGAAAAACATGGATTTTTGTGACAGGAGAAGGAGCAGGAGAAGAAGCATGAGTGTAGCATCTCTCCACTACTCATTAAAGAAGTTTCCATATGAGTGAAAAAAAAAGTTACTGCTGCTTTAAGAACTGCCTTCATTGAAGATTGATTTAAGATTGTTCACTGCCAAGAATCACTTGTTGAGATGGGTTACTCAAAGTGAATGAACTAATTAAACGTGACTCTAAAGCAGTGGTGAAATGTAAAATTTGTTACTACCGGTTCTGTGGGCGTGGCTTGGTTGGGGGGGTTAAAATGACTGGGTGTGGCCAACTTTTTTTCTTTTTTTTTTAAACCATTTTTTTTACAACCTCTTCAGCTGAACAGGTTGTAAAAAAAATGCTTTTAAAGCCTCTGACGATCCCAGCTGAGCCGCACGATCATCAGAGGCTTTTTTTTTTACTTTTAAAAGCATTTTTTCGGCCAAAGAAGTTGTAGAAAAAATGTTTTTAAAAATTAAAAAAAAAAAGCCTCTGATGATTGCGCAGCTCTGCTGGGCAATGGGGGGTGGGGTGGGGCAGGGATTTTTGCTACTGGTTCTCCGAACCACCCGCCTCCATCGCTACCAGATCGGGCGATCCGGTCCAAACCGGGAGCATTTCACTCCTGCTCTAAAGGAAAAGCACTTTATTTCCGGTTTGAATGGAGATGAGAAAAAAGTTCACTATTTTAATGAATGCACAGGTGCTGCCTTTGCACAAGGTTTAAAACATTTCTTCCTAATAACTTTCAAAACAGATATACAAGCTTAGTATTTTGTAATATATTGTTTAACATATTGAAAGCAGGAGGGTTTACTCATCCTTTTATAACACACTAACTGCATATCGCATGGTAACACACATGATTCTTCTATACTGAATAAAAAAACTCGAGCGCAAATATAATTTTTAATCCATTTAAAGGCTACAACAGACAAATGAACCACAAAACCTACCGTTTACATACTGGAGACATATTCTGAAGGCTTCCTTTCAAAGAATGCTCCTCAAGAGTCCAACACTCTATCAGCTCCTGTGGTACTCGCCAGTAGCTGGCACCTTGTAATTTCAAACATATCATTTCACAATATTCAAGAGGCATAAATTTGGTAACTTCTACATGAAATTCACTGTTATGCAATAAGGAATGTGTTAATGCAACTGGAAACATACCTTCATTACAAGAGTTTCTCTTTGTGTTACCATAATTAAAGAGCAATATTCTGAATATCTTTTTCTACATACAAAATTGAACTACATCCAGCATTATGTAAGTGAAGTCGCTGACAAAGAAATATGAAATCTTGTTCCCTCTCCTCATCCTTTTACTCAGTGGTCCCTCCTAACCTTTCCAGCTCTGGACCGGCAGCAGGCAGCAATGACAGGGAAAGGGATGGTTTCATGTGCATAACCTAATCCCGTGCATGCACAAATGGAGTTTTGCATGCTCGCTCATCACTTCCACGGTCTAGTTCCCAATGGGCCACAGACCCAATTCTTGTGGACCAAGAATTGGGGACCCCTGCTTTTACTGCATACCTCCCAACATTTGGAAGATTTTCAACCTGCTGTAGTTGTTCTGTTTATATGTGGAGGGAGAGAGATATTGCAGGATACAACTTCTATTTTCTAATTTATAATATTTTTTACCTTTTTATAATTTATATTATACTATTTTTTACTTTTCTCAATTTCAGGCTATTGCCTGAAGTTGTAATATGTTTCTAAAAAAAGAACAAAATAATGGCTATTATACTTAACTGACTTCTTTAGGGAGGTAACGTGCATGTTTTCAAAATTCACAATACTTGTTCTGACAGAAATGAATATTAAACTCAGTGGTGGGTTTCAAAATTTTTTACTACTGGTTCTGTGGTTGTGGCTTGGTGGGCGTGGCAGGGGAAGGATACTGTAAAATCTCCATTCCCTCTCCAATCCAGGGGAAGGTTACTGCAAAATCCCCATTTCCTCCCGATCAGCTGGGACATGGGAGGCAGAGAATAGATGGCGGCAAGGCCAGTCAGAATTTTTACTACCGGTTCTCCAAACTACTCAAAATTTCTGCTACCAGTTCTCCAGAACTGGTCAGAACCTGCTGAAACCCACCTCTGATTAAACTATCATGCCAGCACATGATAGCATGAACCAAATATATGATATTTGAAATGGTATTTCTTGTATTTTACAATTGCTGATTACCTTTTTACTATAGGGAAATAATAGCTGGTTGTTTGAGCCTGAGTAATAGTACCCAATAGTACCCAAGATACTGGTTTTGTTACATTAAGAGCCAGTTATTCCCTTTTTCTTATGTTGCTGAATGAATAAAATGAATGAAAAATAAATGAAAAAATACCCTTGTTAACCTTCAACAGCCCATTCCCAACCATAAATAATTATATTTTTTTTAAATTCCATCTTCAAATATAGAAATACACACACACACACATACCTCTTCCTTCCCAAGCCTCAAACGCATCCATTATCTTCTTCAATTCTGTTACTGAATAGTAACTCCAAATGTACTGGATGTTGTTTCCAGCCTCTCTAGTAAAAAAATGGAGGAAAAGATATTGTTTTACTAAATGAAAAACAAAACTTTGCTAAAGTTACTTTTTCTTACCCAAGAATCATAAATAATTGAAAAAAAGCAACTTAGCACAATAAGGCACAATTATGTGTTTAGGTGAACTATTTTATTCAGCCAAGCACCAACACAAGATTACACTGTCTTCATTGCTGAACGTTGGTAACACATTTGTAAGACTCAATGTAGCATTCTTACTTGCCTAATTATTTTTGCATAATAATTCCATCTAGGTATCCAGATAAATAGATAGATCTTATGCAATCAAACTGAATGGATAACAAGAGTAACATTTAGTTCTACCCCAAAATCAATGAATTAATTACATTTGAGTGAATTACTGTTTAATCTATTGTATTTTCTGGGCAATATATGTTTAAATATTCCAGGCTTAGTTTTATTAATAACAATTAAGATCCAGTGTATAGTACTATACAGACATAACAGTAGAAATCTAGTTCCATAACTAGACTTTCTTTTGCTCTCCTTTTCCTATATATCCTTCAGAACTGTATCAGATGTATTCAAACATTCCACAGCAGAGAAACTGAGTATCCACAGGCATTTTCTAGCAGATGTTAACACACCAATTTAGAAACATAATTGGAGAGTTTTATATTAAATCTTTAATGTTACTTTAAGTAATAATTAGACAGTATATTCTTCTACCCAAAAGTAATTTCTATTGTATTGCATTTAATGGGACTACATTATTATGACTAGATATAAGACTGCAATCTTAACCAATTTGGGTAAATAAGTAAATATCAAAAGGAATGACACAGGGAAAGATTTGCTTATTTTTAGAAAACTGTCACTATTGTTGAGCACAATAGTAGGAACATAACTTCCTGGTAGCTGTTGAGGAACGAGTCCCATGATGATATGTCACTGTTCACAAGGACAACGAATGACTAATACTGAAGTCTAAAGCATCTGGAGAATATCTGCCATTTTTTTTCTTTAAACAGAAATTGCATAGAGGTATATAAATTCATTTATAATCTTAATATATAATCACCTGGCTGAGAAACATCTCACCTTTTGTAAATATTTTTACTATTTATTCGTCCTCCTAGTTCCTTTTCAACTGCAGTTATTCCATCTGCTTTTGTACCATATATACCAATTATTCTACTCTCACAGCTGGCACCAGAAGTGTTGAGGTAATGCAAGACCCAAACTGTTGGTTTAGTGCATATTAAGCCATAAGAGTCACAAAAACCTACAAGTGCCTAGAAAAGAAGTATACCAACACATATATTCAATCAAACAATCTGGTTATTTAATATAGTTTACATAATTAGAGTTATTAAAAAATATCCAAAATATTCATAGTATTTTGCCAATGGTAAATACCCATATATCTGTAGTCTTACAACTTCTACTCTGAAAAACAGCTTAACAATATTTTAAGTATTTATTATATGTAGCCAACATTTGCTAAATGTGGCTAACTTTTTAAAAAAAGTTTTTCACTGCCAGCCCTTCCTAGACAAAGTAGTTTGTGGAATAAGCCCAAATAAAAGGGTAAAAGTTATTTTCCAGCTGAGAAATATGCATTACTTGTCCTTTATCAAATGTTGAGTATATACTGCAGAATAATTTAAGAACATAGGAAAATTCTGACCTTCTTAAGTTCTACATTTGTTCTAAAACAATATGTCTCCATTTCATTAGCTAGGTGGTCAACAAGACTGTAAGGGTAAGGAATGCCAAAATAATCAGCTTCTTCTTGTAATGCAATTCGTGTTTCCTCATTTTCAGGAATCCAAACTTCTCCATGAAGATAATTTAAGAGGTATTTAAAAAGATTGCCATCACGATCAATAAGGCATGCTCCTGAAAACAGATACAAAAAATATACACATACATTGTATACCTCCATTACTGTAGCATATTATATTGCACAGTAAATCTGTGTTAACGAAGAAGAAAATACAATTAAACTTTTAATTTGTATTAACCAAGTTGGACATAGTTCAACACATTGTACTAGATTAATAGAAGCCAAATCAGGTAGGGTTACTTTGTAGCATAAGCCATTCTAGTTTACTACTGTTTATATAGAGAGCATTGTATAACTCTGTCAAATTTGAACACCTATTTAGAAATTATATTTTCCAACATCATATCATATTTATAGAAGAGAATATATGTAGCTCAGGGTTGAACTGTCCTTGACCAAGGACTCTTTATATCATATTTGCTTAAGAGGGTTTACTTTAAAAAAAAATATTTCTTTCCTCTAGACTAAAAGTATAAAAAAATTTTTAGTCTGAGGACCATATTTGGCTATTTAATGGCATGCTAGAGGCTCCACATCAAAAAGCAAACAAAGAGGAAATTGGATAATGATTCATTCCCATTTAATTAAACATGAAGCTTAGTTTTATTCCCTAATATGCAGTAAATTTACTCTTCTGTTCCATTACAAATTAGCTTGATGGTACTTTGGGAGGCTTTGGGCCATATATGAAGCTTTCAGGAGCTTGTATTTGGCCTTGAAGCCACAAAATGTTCCAAAATCTGACCCATTAAATACTAACAAAAAACTGATGAAACATTTCCTTCAACTCTAATCACATCCCCAACTGTGCATTGGGCTTTAACTCAGGACACTTGTTTCTATATAGAATGAAATGATACATCTGCAGAATGAGGGCTGTACATAAGAGTGAACTGATGCAGAAGGAAGAAATCAAGAGGCGGTAGTCAAGCTCAAAGGAAAAAATAATGCAAAGAAGCCTACAACCAAGTTATCTTAACGCTGAAATGCATTTGTTCACCTTTTCAGGTGTTAACATAAACAGTTATAATTTAAGAAGCTTTTTACCTGAATTATCCATTTTTAAAGGAAATCTTCCACTGAACATAGCTGCTAACATTGAATCCTTAAAACGGCATAAAGATTCACGTCTAGCTGTATACATAAAGCCTCCAACATTAAGTTGAATAATATCTACCATCGTTTCAGACTTGCTGTCATCCATCACTTGCTGTCAGTTAATATTGTTGATTAGATTATGTATTTTGACACCTGAAATAAATTTTATATATAATTTAATTTAGGAGATTAAGAAAATTAGCATTTTGGTAGCATTATCACTCAAAAATAATAGCTAAATGACTTAACTTTTGTGCTGATTTTTCAGCTCAATCCTTTGGACAATTAGTAGAAATCTTTTAAATGCTGAAGATCCATACCATCATGAGAACGCATATGTAGGTCACACTTCTAACCAAGCATTCTTAAGATTCAATTGCTATAATTCTCATTCCTCAGTCATGGTGGCTGGAATGTTTGAATTGCAGTTCTTACCAACATTAGGTAATTTACAAATACCTTATTTCTAGGTGGCTTTTTCTCAACCGCTACAGTGAAAGCAAATTATATCAATAACTGAAAATCCAACTATTCTTATTTAACATTAATCCCAAGAAACTTGATTACTTTAGTAGAACTACTGTATGTTGGGAAAGTAATGTTCCAAACTAGGAAAGGCCTATTTGGAGCCAGAGCAGACCATGTTCCTCAGGCATTTCTTCCTTTGTCCAATATACTCTGGGAGAAACGTGTGAAGTCATGCCCCAATATGCAATTCTAAATACTGAACAGCTACAATTTTAGACTGAAATGCCATGAATATTTGCTTACCTGAATAAAATAGGCATAGTAAAATGGTGAACCATAGCATAAAGTATATACTTTTCATCAAAATGCTAAATGCCAAGAGTAACATATGTTATTAGAACCTCCTTTCAGAAGAGATTATCCAAGCTATGGAGACCTTGTAGGATTGCCATTGTGGGGGAAAATAGGAGCCAGTCACTTTGTATATCACCTTGAGCTGCTGTGCAACTGTGGGTTATAAATCAAATAAATGCACATGCGCTATGACTTTTCTAGACAAATATACTGAATCCATAAAAACAGTCTGGTTTATAAAATATTGTTTTAGCAAATAATAATAAAACATCTTGATGAGTACAGTACTTCCTATTCCTTTTCCCACTGTGCCATGAGAAAACACAAGAGGACTAGAAATGGAATAGAATATCTAGGTCCAATGAAATTGTCCAAATAAGCTTTCTCTCCTAGAGAGCTTTGCCATGTCATTAATGTTTCTGATACAAATTAGGTCCAAACTGAGCAGCAGATTCTTTCCTAGACCCAGCGATTAGTGTTTCTCTCCTTTCTAAGATGCAAGAGGGAATTTGGAACAAGCAATGACAAATGACCATGATGTACAATTTGAAGTATGGATATTGGCCAGGCAAGCTGGATTCTTTACATTAACCATGTCCAATAGTCCAGAGAGTCCAAAGAGTACAGAGCTGATGAACAGTTGGAAGACAACAGCTTTTCTACTGTTGGGAAGAATCCAGTCAGTTTACAGATCGGCTGCCAAAATTCCTTAAAAGCCTGCTAGGTATCACCATCACATAAAGTAAGTGCAGCTATTCCTGGGAACAAAACTATCAGAACTGATGTGTAAAAATGTGGACAGCTCCGAGAAGCCAGCAAGGGGTTACAATTTTACTGCTTCTTAGCTGCCATCCGTCGGTTGGCTAGATTTTTGCAATCTTATTTGAAGGAATCCTGCTCCCCTGCTAAATCAGTCAATCTGCCTCCTCTTTAATAAGAAATTATGTAAATTGCCAAGGACAGGGAGGAACACGCAGCATCCGGGCAGGAAGAAGGGAGGGAAGAAACCCAAGCCAGACCTCTTCCTTCTTCTGCAGCCTGAAAACAGCAGCGACTGGAGGAGGAGGAGGACGAGGAAGCATTGAGCACAAGGGCTTCGCTGTAACGGGATAAGGGGATCCGAGGGAGGCGAGGCCAAGGAAGAAGCCCCAGGAAACGCTCCGCTCGTGAGGTCCGTTACCTTCCTAGTCCGAGGTTCCGGCCAGAAATTTTCGGGACTGGCACTCGAAACCCCGCCTTCCTCTCGCGCTACCGTCTCTGCCGCTTCCATTTCCAAATCCGGCGGAAAGGACGGAGGCGGAAGAGGAGTCACGCGCGGGCTGGATTTGGAGGGGGGGCAAGGGGAAGCACCCGTTCTTAAAGCAGCCCCCGGATTAACAAACCCCATGGATGCAACCGGACGACAAAACAAGAAACCACTTGGAAAAAGGCTCCCCCGTCATGGAAGACACTAGCCGAGCGAGTTCCCCTAGAGCCCCAGCTGCCCATCGATCGCTCTTCCACCGCACTTTATGATCGAGCGGGTCCAAGCTCGGGTCCACGCGCGCCAGCATTGCTCGTAGCGTTTAGGTGCTGAATGCCAGCGCGCGCCTGAGGCCTCGCAACGCTCGCGCTCTTGCGTGGCTGCAGTTAAACGGTTCTGGCGTTGAGCGCCGTATCCCTTCTCTTAAATTGGAGAGCGTCGAAGTTACGAGCTTTTTTTAAAAAAAAAAGCACACATAAAGCAAGCAAGCATAAATTTATTGAAGTGTCCCGAGTGAGAAATTATGACGTGTTATGGCTCTCCTTTTTTTTTTTTTCCTGTCAGTGGTCAGAATCATTTTCTTCCTCTCTTCTTAATATAAAAGCATTTTTCCCACTTGTTTTCTGCTCCCTAACAAGATTTGTGCACATAGGCAAACACCACGGCATATTTTTTTCTAGAATTCAGAAGATTAAATGTACTTTATCCAATGCACATATTGCAGTTTGCTTAAGTAAGGATAGGGCTTGAAGGTTTTGATTATTCCCATTATCTATTTGTGGTTTTTAATAAATAAGGGGAAAAGCCGTAAAGGCATTTAATTTGAGTCGTGACTCCCAGAATGTGATCTGAATGCTAAAGTTCAGAAGTAGAAATTAATTCTCATGTGGAAAAAGAATGCAAATGATAACAATATTTCCAGCTGAGGCTTTTATCATTCATGGGTCCAAACATTTGTGCCTCCATTTGTAATTTTTCAAGATTTTTTTTTCTCAGAAAAAAGCCATTAAGATAGGAAACCAAGAGCCTTCTGAAAGCATAGACAATTCAGAGCAGCTCAAAAATCCTCTCTAATGCAGAGATTTCCCTTTCAAGCTCCAGTCACTTTCTTTTATCCTAAACTATCTCACAGTGTTGTGGGGGAAAACAGGTGGAGGGACCATTGGGTGCTTTGCCTTGAGCTCTTGAATGAAAGACAAATCTTATTTATTTCAATAATAACCATTGAAATAAACTTGCATTATGGTACTACCCAAGATAGATAAGTGAAGAGGCTAGTTCCTTCTTAGAAAACCAGAATAAGAGTTAGCTGCATAGGTTCCGTGTGCTTTTTTCCTGTCCTGAAGATGGAAGGAAAATACATTGTAATAGTTAGCTGCACCCATAGGAGCCTTTTATGGCACCTGAGAAGATGCTGGTAGAGCTGCTGTCCTCACATTAATCTTAGCTGCTGCAACCAGTGGCTGTGATGGGGAGAGAGTCTATGTAATTTAATTTGGGGAATTATCTGAGCCCTTGTTAATGCAGACAAAGCTTCTGGGATGCCCTGCAGAGACAGTATGTTCCTTGTGCCAATCAGAATGCAGCAGGCATTCCTCTCCTACCACAGGCAATCCATTACCTGCCAAAGAGGAACACTGAGAATGACAAGGGCTACAGCAACCCTGGCATGCTGTAGATATCTTTGCAGAGTATAATGAGTACAGGTAGTCCTCAACTTACAACCACAATTGAGCTCAAAATTAATGTTGCTTTGTGATACAATTTTTAGATTAATTTTGCCTCATTTTACAACCTTGCTTGCAGTGAGTCACTAGTTGTTAAATTAGTAACATGGTTGTTAAGTGAATGTGACTTCCCTACTGACTTTGCTTGTCAAAAGTTGCAAAAGGGGATTACATGACCCTAGGATACTGCAAATGTCATAAACATGAGTCAGTTGTCAAGCATCTGACAACCTTTTTATCCAATCCCATTTTTTGATCTCTTAATATACTGCTCAAAAAAATAAAGGGAACACAAGCAGAAGACATCCGAGATCTGAATGAATGAAATAGTCTTATTAAATACATTGTTCTTTACATACAGTAGTTTATACACTGCTCAAACAACTAAAGGGAACAGAAAACTACTCTATGTAACAAACAAAGAATTTAATAAGGCTATTTCATTCATTCAGATCTCGGATGTCTTCTGCTTGTGTTGCCTTTAATTTTTTGAGCAGTGTATATATTGTCCCTTATTTGATTCATGTCTTTATTATCCTCTTCTTGTTTTATTCGTTGATTTATCTATTCTGCCTTTTCCTCTGGTCTTTCTATTATCTCCTCTTATTTCCTGTGTTTTATGATCTTTATTCATTGTCCCTTGTTGAACATTTTCTGATTTTCCCACAATGTCATGCATTAAGTCTTTTATCTCCCTCTGGTTATTTATCAACATATAAGTACTTTGAAGCATCAACATCATTTCTTTTTGAAATCCAGTCATCTCTCCCTGATGCAACATCTTGTCTTATTTTGATAGGTCCAAATATTGCTCAATAGACTGTCAGTTATCTGTCACCGCCCCAAAGTCTCAATTGTCTATTAGCTCAGAAAGCCAGTTTAGAAACCATTTGCTCAATCCTAGCGTTGCTCTTCAGGGGAATGCAATAGTTATAGCTCTTTGTGTCCCACAGTTAGTCAATTAGTTCCATTTAGGTAATCCAGAAAGATTTCCAAATGTCTCCTTAAGTCCTCTCTGTAAGTTCAGTCATAGATCCTGGCATTTAAAAGTCGCTTTCTTTAAATGCCTTTCATAGTCTCACAGTTAAAACCTCCATAACCATGAAGTAGACAAATATAGAACAGTAGATAGCACAGCAGTCCTCCAGATGTTATTTATTTCCACTTTTTTTTCTTTTGTCTTATCAGCACTTTCCAAGGTTGTAGGAGTTTAGAATATATTCCATTTAAAACATGACGCCTTCAGCTTAAAGTTCAACATTGCACAAAATCTAGCAAATATTTATTTCAGTTTTTGCAAATAGTCAATATTCAGATGAATAATTCCAGCATTTTAAAATGCCTTACCAAAATATTGCCAATAAACTTTGAAACTTCAATCTTTCTCTATTTTAAAGATTTTGCACTCTCCTTTTAATTCCTTTTCTTTCAGGTCTGTAATTTTTCTCTCTAATTATTCACCACTTAAACAAGCATTTCAAAGAGTCTCTTTTCCAGGATTTATTTTCTTTGGAGTTAGGTGCTAGGTAAAATGAGAATCACCTCACCTAGTTCTGATCACTGTTCATCTACACCACTCCAGCACATTCTTTGTTTCTTCGGCTGCCCCAGCTTCCCGGCAGCCATAATGGCTGCCTCTCCTTTTCATTGTTGGATGGGAGGGAATCCCTGGGTCCATCTGGAGAGCCGTTGCTCTCCATGACCTGCAGGGTGCCCCTCCTTTCTTCGTCACCCCTACAGGGTGACTTTAGCCCCTTCCCCCCCCCCCAATGAGGAGGATTTGATGCAAGTTTGCGGAGCCCCGCTCCTTACATCCGATCTCATCACGACATCAAACTGGAAGTCAGGCAAAAGAGGTCTTGTGTGGGTATTTTCAAGTAAACAAATAATCAAAGTCTGCTCACTAACATGGCTGGTATTAAGTACTGGCTAATGATCTAGAGGATAGAGTACTACATTTTCCACCATGTACAATACATTTGAGTAATGTCTTGGAATCTTGGCTTAAATAAGAAAAACTACTTTTTCCAGGAACTGGTATAAAATAATTTGAATTTTAGACTAGAAACAATTGTTCTGGTAATGCCAATAACATGTGATCAAGAGAGAATACTGGTTTGTCAAAATGTACTGAAGCCAATGTAAATTTTAACTGAAAAGACAGAAATGTTATCTAACGTCATAGATAATTTCTGTGCTCTGAGCTATAGAGAGATTTGACAATGTTGATCTTTTTTTAAAATAGAAAATCTTAATTTTGTTAAGGAACTTACTTTTTCAGTACAGTATGCATTTAAATTGGATGACTGGACTGAATTTTTAAGGTGATCTTAGGGGTGTGATTATCATTATATTTAGAAACATGAATATATTTGGACAGAATAATAGAGATAAATAGAATAAAATACTTTGTATGGCCAGGTGTGATTAGGCATACAAGGAATTTGTTCTGTAACTCACACTACACACTTCAAAATATTTTTAAATGCAAATTTTAATATATATATATATATATTTATGCTATCTATTGCTAGGTCTTCAGTGTAATAAACTAAAGAGAAATTGCTGTAATGCCTGAAGCATCTTCCCTTTTTACCATTGGAGGTATTAAAAAACGTGTGATGGAGAAGAAGAATGGAGCTCTAAAAGTTACAAAGCTGAATGCTTCTCTTGCATTTAAAGTCAAAACCAAGATAATTAGTAAGTGCTAATTAAATTATAAGTAATCAGGCTCATACTTGGCAAAAATAAAATGTTTGAATTTCTGCAGTATATCTGTATATAGTTACCAAAACATATTTAGGCAAAATAAGCTAAAAACAAGACTAAGAGCTAATGGAATGTTGGACCTATCACATTGTCTTGATTATGTGCCATCAAGTCAATGTTGGCTGTTAGCAACCATATAGTTTTCTCCAAGATGATTTGTCCACAAACTTTTGCTCTTCAAGTCTTCCATCAGTGCTTCCTTTGCCACCGTAATGGAGTCTACCCATCTTACTTCTGATTTCCCTTTTTTCCCTTTTCATTTTTTTCCAACATTACAGACCTCCAGAGAATGAGTTATTTACACAATGCGTCCAAAACATGGTAATGTGTGCCTAGTCATTTCAATCAATTCAATCAGAATGGAGCTGGAAGGGACCTTGGAGGTCTTCTAGTCCAGGGGTCTGCAACCTTTTGGACCTCAGGGACCACCAAGTTCATAATTTTAAATTTCGTGGACAACTAATATGAATCCAGCATGCCGTTTGCTGAAGCACCTGGACTCCCAGTAACGGGATGGGGTCCTTCAGGCACTCTCCCTCCTCTCTCTCTCTCTCTCTCTCTCTCTCCCACTCTTTCTCTCTCTCCCCCTCCTCTCTCTCTCCCCCACTCTCTCATTCTCTTTTCTCTTTCTCTTCCCCTCTCTCTTTCTCTCTCCCCCACTCTTTCTCTCTCATTCTCTCTTTCTCTCTCATTCCCTCTCTCTTTCTCTCTCCCACTCTTTCTCTCTCATTCTCTTTCTCCCCCCTTTCTCTCTCCCCCCACTCTCTCTCTCTTTCTCTCCCCCCTTTCTCTCTCATTCTCTCTTTCCTCTCTCTCCCCCTTTCTCTCTCCCCCACTCTCTCATTCTCTTTCCTCTCTCTCCCCCTCTCTCTCTCCCCCCTCTGTCTCTCATTCTGATTCTCTCTCTCTGATTCTTTCATTTTGTCTCTCTCTCTCTCATTCTCTCTCTGATTCTCTCTTTCATTCTCTCTCTGTCTCTCTCTCACTCTCATTCTCTCTGTCGCTTTCTCCATCTCATTCTTTCTCTTTCATTCTGTCTTTCTCTCTCTTTCATTCTTTGTCTCTTTCTCTCTCTGTCTCATTCTGATTCTCTCTCTTTCTGTCTCTCTCTCATTCTCTCTCTCATTCTTTGTCTCTTTCTCTCTGTGTCTCATTCTGATTCTCTCTGATTCTCTCTCTCTTTCACCTCATGGGCCAGCCAGTGTCTTGGGGCTGAGAAGAAGTCAAGCATTCCCTGAGAGACTGAGGTGCGTGGAGCACCAACAAGGGCTGGAAGAAGTGTGGGAGCGAAGCACTACTTGAACTTGCGCACATGATTTTGATTCCATGCTTCTGTTTATACAACCAAGGATTGTATTAGCTTTTTTAGCTGCTACCACACACTGCTGACTCATGTTTAAGTGATCATGTACTAGGACTCCAAGGTCCCTCTCATAGGTATTGTTTTTGAGCCAGGTTTCACCTAATCTGTACTTGTATCTTTGACTTTTCCTGCCTAGGTGTAAAATCTTGCTTATCTCCACATTACATTTCATGTTGTTGGATAGGGTCCATTGTTCAAGTCTGTCAAGATCTTTTTGGATCCTGAGCTTGTCTTCTAGAGTGTTGGCTATTCCTGCCAATTTAGGGTCATCGGCAGATTTGATGAGTTCTTCTTTTATTCCCTCATCTAAATAATTATGAAGATATTGGAAAGAACTGGGTCTAAGACGGTATCTCACTGCTGACTTCCCTCCATGTAGATGTAGTACCCTTAAGGACTACTTCTTGAGTAGCCAGTTTGTCAGCCAGTTACAAATCCATCTGGTGGTGATGCTGTCTATCCCACATTTTTCTAGCTTACCAAGAAGTAGGTTGTGGACTACTTTTTTGAATGCCTTACTTAAGTATACCATGTCCACAGCATTTCACTGGTCTACTAATTTAGTCACTTTGCCAAAGAATGAAATAAGATTGGTTTGGCATGATCTGTTTTTAACAAACTCATGCTGGATTCTAGTTATAACTTCATTTGTTTCTAAATGTTCATAGATCTGTTTTTTATTATCTTTTCCAGTATCTTCCCATGCTGATTGGTCTGTAGTTTCCTGGGTCTGGTTTTTTTTCCTTTTTTGAAAATGTGAACCACATCAGCTCTTTTCCAGTCCTCTGGTAGTTCCCAGGTGCTCCAGGATATATGCCTTTTACGAGAACTCTGAATTAATTTGTTCAGTGATCCATTTGTTTTGTTTTTTATCCATGGTATTCACCCTACTTTAACTTCTATAAAGAGTCATAAGGAAAATCATTGCCTGCACAATTCTAATTTTTATGGATCCAATTCTTTTCTAAGTCTTTTATAATTACTCTATCAAATACTAATATGCAGTATATTTATTGATTGTGGTTCCCTTACTGTTGATAGTTGATCTTAATACTCATAATCTTTTAAAAGACTCACTTCAGTATCAAATCAAATCTTTATTATAGTCATAGACCAGCATATCACTTCAATATCTTCATTGTACTAAATGTAGTCCTATATTTTATTGTACTCTGTGTCTTTCAATATTAGAAATCCCAAATAATTTGCATTTTCAACTATCATAATAGTGAAATCAACATAGCACAGATTTTTCTTACCCCAGTTTTAAAACCACAATCATCTTCTTCCAATCTAACTTCCCTCAATATATATTCATCATATATGTTGAATAAATAAATATACAGCCTTATCCCATTCCTTTGTTGATTTGCAACCAGTCTGTTTCACAATAGATGATATCTATGGACTTGTATCCTTTAGTGTACCAATTTAGGATTGGATCTCCTGAATTAGGACATCTTTTGGTCTTTTTCTATCTTCACTGTCTTTACACATGTTATTGTAATATTTCTTTTTTTATATAACAGCTTCCTAAAATTCTTTATTCTTCCATGAGATATTTCTTTCTTGGCTTTAGTTTCTTTTATTTTGGCAATTTCTATAATCTATTCTAACATCCAATTCTTTCTTGTTTCATCATTTTTTGTAAGTTCAACATTCATTCTTAACAACAACTTCAATTTCATTCTACAGTTCCCCTGATTCCCTATCAGTGAGGTTCAGGATTTCAATGCAATTCCTCATGTACTCTTTGAAAATGATGGGATATACTCAAGATCGTACTATGAACGTTGATTAGTTTTGTTCTTCTACTTTAGCTTAATTTAGAACTCATATGAGTTATTTGTGATCTGTTCCACAGTCAGCCCCTGGCTATATCTTTGCTATTATAACTGGGTTCTTCCATTTACTTCTACCAATAATATATTGTAGTCAGTTTGATTAGTGTGCACACCATCTGGTGATATTCATGCATTGTTTTGGTTGTTAAAAGGCTGCTTTAGCTGTGAAAAAATAATTTGATTGCAGAAAGTCATTGACTGATAAGTCATTCTCTGGCTTCATTTTGGTTTCCTAGGCTGTAAAGTCAGACTATTTAATATTTCCCACTTTGGTATTCTACTCTCCAGCAATATGACAGTATAGTAAGTTTAGAAAAAAATATGGTTATGTTATTATCATTCAAACTACTTCTGAAGATTTATGGATCAGTAGCAGTATGAACATGCCCTTATTTTTTCTTTTCATTTTATTCAGGCAACTCCTCACTTTTTAAAAATTCTTTGAAATGTAATAATAAGGCATTGGCCATGGCCCTTAGTACAGAAAAAGAAAATTCTCGGTGGCTGAAAAGTGAAAAGTTGTTATTACAAAAAGAATTGGATGGGTTGAAATTGCAGAATATCTTACTTCGCCGAAAGCTAAGTTATCTGGTACATTCTAAAAAATAAATGGTGTGATTTTTGATTCACTGCTTAGGAAAATAAAAATAACAGAAAATACCCAATTATTTCTTCCTATTAATGGAACAGCTTATATCAGTAAAATGTTCAAGGGGCAATTAATTTTTCTTTGCAATTCCTTGAATGTCCTCAGAATCTGATCTGTTGGATTTATTTAATTATTAGATTTGTATTGTCTTTTGTATAGAAGCTGAAGGTGGCATACATTATATTCATTCTTTGTCAGCCCTTCAAGATAGGTTAAGTCAGGGATACACAACACAAGAATTATAGGAAAGCTATTTAATTATTTTAGGTCGTAATTACAGAATTTTCAAAGTCTTCCAGAGTTTTCCTCTATCTCCTCTTATATCAAATAGAATCAGAGGAAGGTTATTTTGAGTTTCTTTCTCTTTTCCCTGAACTGTGTTATCTCTTTTTTCCCTGCCTCAAAATCACCAGTGAACCTCTATGGCTCTATGAATATAGATTTATTATGCTTTCCTAGATCAAATATGTTTCAATACTGCCTCTTTCTTTGTCTTAACATTAAGAAAAAAATATTAATCCACCTTTTTTCTTTCTTACTTTGGCTGTATAAATAACAACATATTATATATAATATGTGTATGTTTGTTTGTTTGTTTATTTATTTATTTATTTATTTATTTATTTTAATACACAGAGCAAAACTCTGAAAGAAATTCAAGCATTCATGAATAATAAAATTTTAACTGCAATTGAATTAAGCACCTTTTCTGAGGTATGTGCCAGCTGTATGACTATTATCATATATCACAGACTTAAGCAGGATCGCTATTACATCTATGTGTGTAACTCATCATTACAAATCTTAGTTTTAATTTTTTTCCAGATATTTTTAGACATTACTCTGAGATATGGTGAAAATACAAGAAAAAAGTGTAATAAAAAATTACCAGCATTCTATCCACCTGAAATATGTATATAGACGTCAGTTCAGATCTATATATATTATTTATTATTTATTTAAATTCATTGATTCTCCATCTCTAATGGACTTGGAAAGTGCACAAAAATAAAAGAGACCTAAAAACAATTAAAAACATTAAATCAACAGAAACAGCCCAGATTAACATGCTCTATTTTAGTAGTAAAATCCATATAACAAAAGAAGGGCCATTAAACAAATAAGAAACATCAACCCCAGGCCTGGGATCGAAGCCAGGTTTTCAAAGCTTTCCAGAACTGTAGGAGAGATGGTGCTATCCTTTTTTCTGGAGGGTGCAGTAGTGCAAAATAGTATGTTTTAATATAAAATTATTTATAAAATAATATATATGAATTAAATATTTTAATACTTCAAAATGAAGTTTCTGTTATAAGTGTACGATGTGTACACATGACCTTTATTTTGATCTATGTTTTGGTAAAATAAGCACTTTTATAGATAAGCACTGTGCATATGAGTATGTTGTGTGCTTTATATTTCCTAATCCAGGGTCACCAACCCCTGGGCCACAGTCCACTACCAGGCTGTGACCTATATGCAACTGGGCTGCAGGTGGCATACATCTGCAGCAGGGGTGAAATCTAATTTTTTTTGCTACCGGTTCTGTGGGCGTGGCTTAATTAGCGGGCATGGCTTGGTGGTAAGGTGACTGGGTGGGCGTGGCCAAGTCAATGTCACTTCTTTGCCCTTTTTTAACCTATAAAACACAACACAACACAACTGGCTCACCCACAATGTAAAAGCAGCTGTGCTAGACCCAAAATGGCCCCTGCAACAAGGAGGAACCTCACACAGCCACAAAAAACCCAAAAAACCAACTTTCACACTTTACACACACACAACACAACACAACACAACTGGCTCACCCACAATGTAAAAGAGCTGTGCTAGACCCAAAATGGCCCCTGCAACAAGCAGGAACCTCACACAGCCACCAAAAAACCAACTTTCACACTTTACACACACAAAATTCCACATACAGCTTTGTGAGATTTTGTGTGTTTGTGTAGTTAGAGTGAAAGCTGCACAAATATTATTTTATTTTAATTTATTTTTATATAAAAGCAGCTAAATTTAAAACTTCCTAAACTTTAAATGGCTAAGTCTAAAAAAAGAACAACTAAAAAAAACCCCAATTAACTATTTTTTTTAAAGCTCCCAAAGGGGGGAAAAACTTATCCAATAGAACAGGGGTCCCCAACCTTGGCAACTTTAAGACTTGTGGACTTCAACTCCCATAATTCCTCAGCCAGCTTTGCTGGGAGTTGAAGTCCACAAGTCTAGGCAGGAAGGCAGGCAGGCAAAAAGAACTGCTCACCGATGAGCTTGATTGCAGGCAGGGAGATTCAGTTGCTTGCTGATGCATGGATTGCGATCGTCATGCGATTAGCCGCTAAGGTAAGCAAGCTGGAGGCTGGGAGATGGGGGGGAGAAAAAAAGAAACTTTTTTTCTTTTACATGGCTCTGGCGATCCAAGCTGAGTTGCCTGATTAGCAGGCAACTCAGCTGGGATGTCAGAGCTTGGCAGGTCAGAGCCATTTAAAAGAAAAAAAAGGCTCTAGTGATCATGGGGCTCAGCTGGGCATGGGGGGGCGGGGGCAGGGATTTTTGCTACCGGTTCTCTGAACTGCCCACCGCCATTGCTACCTACTCACCCGAGCTGGTCTGACCCAGGAGCATTTCACCCCTGGTCTGCAGCTCAACTCACACAAATGATAGGCTGGTGCATGTGCGTGCATGCACTTCGATGTGAGTGGTGGGCCAGCATGCATGCACATTCACGCACAGCTGAACTTGCAGTCGAGATGCTTGTGTATGTGCGCCCTGCCGCCATTCATATGAGTCAAGCTACACATGCGCGCTGGCCCATCTCTTGCATGGCCCGGTTCCCTTCTTCCCCCTCAGCCAGGCCCCCAAGCCGCAAAGGTTGAGGACCGCTGCCCCGTACAGTAGAACAGCCTTATGAAACAGATGAAAGCAGGGGTCCCCAACTCCTGTTCTGGCACCTGTTCGTGGCATGCTCCTGTTCGTGGCATGCCAGAAACTGGGCTGGGCAAACAAGCAAGGTTCCATCTGCGGGATGGAACATACACCCTTTGGTCTGTGGAAAAACCTCTCTCCACGGAACCAGTCCCTGGTGCCCAAAAGGTTGGGGGCCGCTGTCCCAGCCAACAGCTGCAAATATTTGAACCTTATGGCAATAACAATAACACATCGACTTATATATCACTCCCTAATGCTTTACAGCCTTTTCTAAGCTGTTTACAATGTCAGCATATTGCCCCCAAAAATCTGGGTCCTCATTTTACCAACCTCAGAAGGATGGAAGCCTGAATCAACAAGCCCATCAGGATCAAATTCCAGACTGGGGGCAGAAAAAGCCTGCAATACTGCATTCTAACAACTGCGCCACCAGGGTTTATATTTAGCAACTGCAATTGATTCTGATGAAATGGTCACTAAATGACATGGCCACTAAGCAAACCATACAACTGAGAAAGATGCTTCAAAGTTATGAATGCTTCACTACTTTAGAAGTAGTCCACTACTACAGTGGACTACTTGCAATATAAAGAATGTGCCTACTGATTAATCTTTCCTTGGAGAAAATCCTCACAATCTAAACACTATAAATATAAACAGGCTTCAGGGCTTCTTGCACCTTTTGACTTTTCATGTTAAAAATTAAAACATTAAATATTTTAGTTAGAAAAATTAAAAGCCAGCTTCAAATGAAGAAAAAAAGCAGCCTTTAGCATAATCTGTTCATGCTTCTTTGATCGAAATGGTATTTTCTTAAGAGAATGAAGGGGTAACTGCAATTTTGTCTCCCCACCTAACCATAAAAATAGCAAATAATAAGTTGGAGTAATAGATATGAGGTGCAGATGTTCCATTTTGCAAGAGCAGCCACAAGTTTCAGAATTCCAAGTCATGAAAAACTTGGAATATGAGGAGTATGCTAACATATTTTTCTTTTAATAGTGTATTCCAAAACCTGTAACAATGGATGATGCTCGGTGCAGCAATTCTGGTCATGAATCCAAGCTTTCAAAAAATCAAATAAGGTAATATTTGAGTTTAAATATTAAACTAGAAAAAAATGAAAACAGGAAAATCTGCCAATTCAACCAACTGTGAAAGGCTACTTCAGAAACAGTTTCAGAGGTTATTTTTACTCAGAAAAAATATGCGCACTTTCGAATTGCATAACCAATATATGAGTTATGTTCACATCAGAAAATTTATGAAATTACCATGTGTTTTTATTTTGCTAGCACAATTTTGCTGTTTATCGAATACTTTTGTAATCTGGCTCAATCTTACACTACTATGTAAATTATGAGGCTTTATTTTGTTCCTTTTTTAAGGTGTAAACACAGTTTATCATACAATCAAAATTCATTTTGTTTTTTAAATGCTTATATTAATGAATATTATTCATTCTTAATAATTCTCTCCTTTTCCTTTTTCTTTCAGACCTACTGAGCAATATTTGATCACTCCTCATATTGTAGAAAGTGATGGAGGGGGGAAAGGGAACTTGTTTGTATGTGACACACATGGTCCTTTTAAGCCGATATCTGTACTCTCAAAACAAGTTACAGCAGATCATATGAACATGCAGATATTACACCCTGAGCAAATGCCAAAACGAAGCGAAATAAATAAAATGGAAACAGAATTTGCCACAAATATATTTCCAGAAGGTATACTGTATTTTTTTTTATGCAGTGGAGCAGGATATAATCTAATATATTGTGCTGAAAGAGAGACAGAGATATCCTAATTCATCCCAAATTATCATCCCACAATTCAGATGTGATTTTCTGAGAGAGACTGGACAATTGACTGGACAATTGACATTGAGACTGGACAATTGATTAAAATTCTCAATGCTCCAAAAGTCCACTATGAGATGATGTTTGGGAAGAAAGCAGACCACACCTCAAGAACTCAGAACAAAAACAATAATGAAAGATAATACATGCTATAGAATAATTCAACATTTGGAATTTATTCTGTCAGCTAGCTAATACAGAAGCCAAAAAACAGAGAAATGTTAAAGAGAAAGGAAATAAAAATCTTTATATAAGGAAAACAATTGATAGTTGGTGAAAAGGAAGTTATAGAGGAGATACTGATTCAAATGTAATCTTCAGAGAAGCCCTGATAATCATTCAATTAGCATTTTTAACAAATGTATTAAAAGACTTTTTTTTTAGATAGAAAAATCATTGGAAAAAATGTGGCACTTTTAGGAATTGACTCATTTAAGTTAATGCAACTTTTAAAATAACTGCAAATTCTTGTTTCAAACTGCTTGAGATTTTTAATGAAAAAATGATTTTTTTCATTAAAAATAACTGAACAATAAAGTAATGAATACCAGAGAGATAATGTGCCAGCAGAATATCCAGAGCACTTCTTCATAATCATTTTTAAAGTCCTAATGAATACTTCTGCAAAGGTCTGCAAGTCAGTCAAATATTGCATTGTGATTAGTACTGAAAGAAGATTTCATTTGTTTAATAGCAATATAAAACTAACGTTATAAATATTAAAATAAAACTTGTACATTTTAAATAGTTTTCTTAATTTTGCTTTTCAGAAAAGCAGTCTCATATGAAACAAATCTCTAATAATACCTCTCTAGATTATGCATCATCTGCAGATGAATATGAATGTCAGTCAAAAGGACATAATAATCCCTTTCCAATCCATGGATGTATAAGTGAAAGAAAGAAACAAACGTGCATTTCAAGTATTCACCCTATTTTAAACAATTTTGGTACCAAAAGAGATAGTAACTGTATATTGCATCTTTGCATGGCCAGAGTTTGCAGTAATGATATTGGTAATCAGAGAGACCCAAATGGTGTTTCACATATTGAATTGACTTCCCAACCTAGCAGTAAACTTGTTTATATGAACAAAGAAGATTTAATAAAAAGTCAAAAATCAGAGGAAACTATATATGATACTGATATGGAATTAACTGCGAGCGAATTGGGTGAAATAGTTATAATTAAATCTAGAGATAAGAAACTTAATAAGGTTAAAGCTGACAAAATTTCAGGAAATCTAAGAAAAGTAACATTGGCAAGTACAGAAAAGCACATTAAAAAAAAAATAGCAATGAACCAAAAAAAAAGTGATCAAAATGTTTCAAAAACCATCCAAACCATTAAATCAAAGAAAAAATTACCACTGAAAGTAGAATTGTTTGAAAAGACAACATCCTGGGAAATGGAACTGAAAAATGCCAATGAAGAAGATGGTGAAGAAGATAATAAAGACATTAACAAAAATTACAAGCACCTGCATTTAATAGATCTCAACTGTCAACTGCAAACTACTAATATTTTAGAGTCAGAAAAAGAGGAAAAAATAATGTCTGAAACAGTAGAGGGAGTAATTAGGAAGAATCCAGCAGAAAATTTCGAGGTATCTACTATACATCCTACTTTATTACAAGATAGTAAAATGGAAAGTTTGCTACCATTGGCGAGCCCCATAATGGATAAACAAGAAAATTTAAACATAAATGAGAGTTATCCTGATACTTCCAAAATCAACAGATCAAACTATTATGAAATGGAAAGCATGCAGCATTTAAGAAATTTGAAAAGACTTGGCTCAGAGGAATGCAGATATGACTGCCAAACAAAACATGGTCAAAGAACCACTGTAAAATGTGTATGCAGCAGCAAAGAAGTTACTTGCAAACACAATATAACAGCAGAAGGATCTACAGATGCTTTAGATGTTTCAAAGATTTTGCAAAGTGACAAAAGAAGAATTTTTGCAAAAGCTAGCCGGAAGACGTATATTATATATCCAGGCTCTCATAATGAGAAAAAAATGTATGTGAAACAGAAATTACACAATCAAAAATTATATGATAAAAATATTCCACATAAGGCATCTGAAGAGGAAGAAAGAATTTTCAGTGTTCAGAGAGTAATTTCATGTGCCCTAAAAGATGCTGAAATTTCTAATGAAGCAATAAATGAAAAAGAAGGTTCCACATCAAAGCCAAGCAGAAAAACTTATTTTGTTTCTATGCATGATCAAAATAAAAAGGAGAATATCCCTGTTATAAATAAATCTGAAAGGCATAATCAAGAAGAAAATGATTGTGACTTTACAAAGAAGGCAGACATAATTTATGAAGAATTGTGCAACAGAAAGCCAATGCAAGATTCTGGTATGTGTTATCCTAATTGTGATGCAGCTAAATACTTGCTCTGGTTGAAAACTAAAAAACCCTCACAAAACTAAATTATTGCTACCATATACAAAAAAGGGAAGTTAGCATCTTATTTACTTATTTAGACTTTCATTTTCTTAATGGCATTACAAATCTAAGAATGCCTGATACAAAAAACTCAGGCAAAAATGCCCATCAAAGGAAATAGGACAAATACAGTTGTTGCAGATTTTTGGTCCAGATGGTAGATACATGTGCCGTATAATACCTCGAAGCATGGAGTTAAGTGTAGTGGTCCCCTTGTCTCTAACATTAAGTCATTTTTGGTTTCTTGATGGTAAAAGGGATCTTTCCACATACGTGAGGTGCATTCACTACCAATCCTACAAGATGCCCCCTCCCCACATGTCAGATATTGTAACTCTTGCTTGTATTCCATGGCCATTATCTTAGGTGTCAATTTATTTTTCTATAATTAGTGTTTCTGACAAGTGAAAATAATACAGAGGCACTGGTCGTCATGAAAGCATATGCACAATGTTTCAAAATAATCACAAAACTCTTTTTGATCTAGTCATGGACAAGAAGTAATATAAATTAGTTGATTGAAAGGACTTTGTGTTTTTGAGTTTGTTCTAATGAAAACCTAAGAAAGATAAATTTAGGTCTTTCTGTGCTCTACAACACAGTGGGCAACATGCTTTCTCCAATGAGTTTGGCCAAATTTATGAATAGTAAGATTCTAAACCATCTCAAAGATGCTTCAAAGATGTCTGTGTAATCCAAACATATGCATGCGGAGCTGATATATTTATTTTTATTTATTAAATTAATATGTGGTCCATTTCACTGTCAAATGACTCTGGGCAGTTTATGCTAAGATAACACATATTTTCTAATAGAACATAGGTGACTTTTTAAAAATCCAAAAATATTTCTAATTAGTGATTTAAGTATTAATTGAATTCCTAGGGAACAAGCCTCTTCAGGAATTGACAAATATTGGTATAAATTCAAATCCCAAATCCAAGAAAGATATAGAAGAACATTCTGAACCACCTGTTAGACTCAGACGAACAACAGTTTGCTACAAAGAACCCAGCATCCAAAGGTTAGAATACATTTTCTTCCCTAATCTCTTTTGTTTTTGGAAAAATAAATTCTTCATTTGTTAAGTTTGATTTCTGATAACTGCAGACATATCATAGAGGGTTTTTTAAACTCGTAATTTGGTTCCTACAATTACTATAGAGTAGATATTTATAATGAATCACGTATTTAGTACACCAACCCTTTTAAAATCCATAAAATGAAAGTTGTATTTATTTCAACAATCTCTATTAGCAAAGTTGTTGTCATCATTAAATGAATTTCAGCTTTTAATTTTCCTCTTCACGCAAACTTGATGGATGTTGGGTTTATCTTTCTTGAAAATGGATAATTTTTCCATGCAGATCTCTCCTCTTGTACTTCTTCCCATCCTTTTGTTTTTATCCTCACTTTGGGCAGAGTTCTCATTATAGATCTGTATAATTCTAACAAAATAAATAAAGGGGGTTCACTGGAATAGGTTAAAATTCCCAGTACATTTCAGGCATGAGCAATAGATATTGCATGAGGCAATGACAAGCCATTTCCAAAATGGCTTGCCAAGAAAACTGCAGGGACTTGTCCAGGCAGGAGTCAACACTGACTCAAAGCAACCAAAACAACAAAGCAAAGCAGTAACTGGAGTCAGATTTGAGAGAATGAAGCTACAAAAAACATATAGTTTAAAATGTTAGTCAACATTTTCTGAAAATTTTCAAGGTGCTTTTATCACTGGTTAGCTTATCTCAGTGCAGCTGTTAAAATTATTTCATATGCTATACTACTTTTTATGCTAGAAATATGCTTTTTTTTTCCAGCCTAGAGACTGTACTTCCTCTTGGGTGCTGATTTGATATCTGAACTCATAGCTAGAAAGATTGGCTGAACATTTCAGACTTCTCAGTTTTTTAGAAACTTTTGGGAAATTTTGAATCACCTATTTATCAGAAGATAAAATTTGTGTTATTTCTCCTTACCTGTCCCTTTCTAGTCCTCCAGAGTACACATTATCTTACTGTTTCAGTAATGGTGCATATAACAATGCACATGTTTTGTGAGGGTGCAGCCGAAGAGGCAGGGAAAAATCAATCTCTGTAATTGCCAAGTGAATTATTTGGGCTAAGATAATGAATTGCCCAAATTTTCTCAATGTGCTCTTTGTCCTCTGAGGAGTTGAATCAAGATCATCTCTTATCCAGATCCAGCATCCAGCATCCTAACTTGTAAAACGTATATCTTCTTAAACAGCTGGCCTTTCTTTTTCTTTTCTTTTTTTTAAATATTTTATTTGTTTTTAAACATCTTAAACATAAAATACATCTTTTAAGAGCTAAGGTTTGGGCGGGTATTAAATAAGTACAATTGCCCACACTTCTTTGACCAATTTGATTCCAAATTTCATCCATTTACATCTTTAAAAAACAAACAAACATCAAATCACCAATTTTTTATCATACAATCTAACATCTTATTCTAAACACTTGGCATTCTATTGTATCACCATAAATCTTAAATCAGAAATAAACACAGCTCCTTTTTATATACAATCTTTCATTCCAAATAAACACCATTCTAATTTTTTTCCATTTTGTCAATCAGAATTCCTTATATATTCCTTAATCTTAAAACCCATTTCATCAAATCTGTATTTTAACCTCTATTGATTTACGTCTAATTTCCTTAATCTTGTCATGAAATACATTTCTCATTTTATATAAAATCACTTCAGAATCATTTCACATTATCAATCATTCCACGTTTCCATCCATAATTTTATCTAATTCCTAATCTATTTTATTTTGGCTGATTTCCAGTGAATTCTCCATTACTCCTAAATCTATTATTTAGCTGGTTCACAACTAAATTAGTTATTTTCCAGCATATTCTCCTCGACTCCTCTTGCTGATTCCCAGCATATTCTTCTCCACTCCTAAATCTATTATTTAGCTGGTTCACAGCAAGCTGTTTTCCAGCATAATCTCCTCCATTTCTCCTGCTGATTGCCAGCATAATCTCCTCCACTCCTAAATCTGTTATTTGGCTGGTTCACAGCATTTTAATTTAGCTGTTCTCCAGCATAGTATCCTCCACTCCTTCCGCTGATTACCAGCATAATCTCCTCCACTCCTAAATCTATTGTCACTGATTACCAGCATGCTTTCCTCCATTCCTAACTCTACTTATTTGGCTGGTTCACAGCATTTTGTTTTAGCTGTTCTCCAGCATAATAGCCTCCACTCCTTCCGCTGATTGCCAGCATAATCTCCTCCACTCCTAAATCTATTGTCACTGATTACCAGCATGCTTTCCTCCACTCCTAACTCTACTTATTTGGCTGGTTCACAGCATTTTATTTTAGTTGTTCTCCAGCATAGTATCCTCCATTCCTTCCGCTGATTACCAGCATAATCTCCTCCACTCCTAAATCTATTGTCGCTGATTACCAGCATGCGTTCCTCCACTCCTACATCTATTATTATAAATATCTTATTTTAGCTGGTTCACAGCATATTACATAAGTTGGTTTTTCAACATATTCTCCTCCATATCTTCCGCCAATTTGAAATAGAAACATGTTACAACAAATATCTTCTCACATATTCTCTCCTGGATTATAAATTTTCCTTAAATTCGTCCCATTTCATATTTATCCTTATTTTTCTATGAAAGCAACATTTTTATTCGCCTTGAAATCAATTTTCTATAAATATTAAATCTATAAATAACTCCTGTTCATATTCAAAATTCATTTAAATATTTAAAACATCCTATTCTCTTTTAATCATTTATATTCTTGTTTCATGACCAGATTGATATATGTATATCTAAATAGTCAAATTTAAAAGGAATGGAAATAAAAAGTAAAAAAGCAAGAGACAACAAGAAAGAGAGGAAAGAAAAAGGTAACAAAGAGGAAAAGAAAAAAAGGAAAAGAAAAGAAAAAAAGGAAAAGGAAGAGAGAAAAAAAACACACCTCCTATTAATATTCAAGCTTCATGCAAAAATTTAAACATTATATTTCCATTTTTAATCAGGCTATTTTATTTTATCTCACAACCAACTATATTCTAGTTTTTCCTTTCCCCATCTGTCCAAACTGTTCCTTTTTAAGTTCGATATTGTCAAAATTAAGAACTCTGTAAGGTTTAGCTTTTTTGTAACATCTATTCCATATATAGTATCATCGTCCCTTCTTTTGTTGCTTCGCCATTTTCTTTTGTTGCCATGCCTGCTAGATCAATTTTAATTGTTCCATTTTATTTCTTCTTTCTTCCCATCAATAAAACCACCAATAGACAGATTGGGAATCCCCAGAATCAAATCTCCTTGGTTGTTCAAAATAATCCAATTTAGATAGCAAGACACATTGTTTCTCTGTCAAGCCAAAAGCAATCCACAATTTACACTTTCACTTCGTCGTGCAATCCTCCATTTTGTCCATTATATAATTGTCCGCTTGTCCTTTCCCCTTAGTTTTTAAAGACTCCTGCTTATCGGCTGATGTTGTGTAATGCCAGGTCGGTTGTTAATAAAGCCCCCCTCATCTGTGATCTTATATTGGAGGGGGGTGCGGACCTGGCAGGTATTACAGAGACCTGGTTGGGCCAAGAGGGGGGGTCCCCCTCGTTGAAATGTGCCCACCAGGTTTCCATGCATTTCATCAGCCAAGGGCCCAGGAGAGGGGTGGGGGAGTGGCGGTAATTATTAGGGAAAGTCTTTGTCCGAGGGAGACCACTGTTCCTCAGATAGCCGGATGTGAGTCCCTCTTTATGAAGTGGGGCCGTGGGGTGCAGATGGGTTTGCTGACTGCGTACCTGGCTCCCTGCCACGTGGCAGCGACCCTACCCGAGCTACTCGACGTCATCGCCGGGGTGGCGGTGGATACCCCCAGACTTATTGTCATGGGGGATTTCAACCTTCTATCCACGGGTGAGGCGTCAGAGGTGGTTCGGGAGTTCATGGCTTCCATGATGGCCATGGACCTGACCCAGTTAGTTCAAGGCCCCACTCACATAGGGGGTCACACTCTGGACTTGATTTTCATCTCTGGTCAGTGGTTGAATGATCTTGGTAGAGGGGACTTAGACATTAAACCCTTGTCATGGACAGATCATTCGCTCCTTCACTTGGACTTTCCTACTGTTTCCCCCTGCCGCAGGGAGACGGAACCGACCAAATGGTTCCGTCCCAGGCGCCTGATGGATCCCGAAAGGTTCCTGATGGAGCTTGGGCCATTTCCTGAGACTGACACACGACTCGACTGAAGAGCTGGTGGCCGCCTGGGAGAGTGCGGCCGCCAGAGCTTTGGATCGTGTCGTGCCTTTGCGGCCTCTGACCCGATGCCGATCTCAATTGGCTCCTTGGTTCTCTGAGGAGCTGAGAGAGATGAAGCGTTGGAAAAGATGCCTAGAGAGCATTTGGAGGACTAGTCATTCTGATTCCGACCGGACACAGGTGAGGTCTTATATCAAGACCTACCTAGTGGCGATAAAAGCGGCGAAATCTAATTATTTTTCCGCTCTTATCGCATCTGCAGAGAACCGCCCAGCTGCCCTGTTTAGGGTGACCCACTCCCTTCTTCAGGGGGGAGTGCGGGAAGATCCCTTGCAGGGTCGAGCTGAGGATTTTGTGCAATTCCTGCACGATAAAGTCGCTCGGATTCGGGAAGGCTTGGACTCCAACTGGGTGAGTCCGGGGGAGGAGACGAGGGTAGGTCTTGAGAATATTACCTGGGAGGAGTTTGATCCTGTGGCTCCCGAGGATCTGGACAGGGTCCTGGATAGGATTAGTGCCGCCACATGTTTATTGGACCCATGTCCCTCCTGGTTGGTACTGGCCTCCCGGGAGGTTACATGAGGCTGGCTCCAGGGGATTATAACTGCTTCTCTGAGTGAGGGTGCCTTTCCCGCCACCTTGAAAGAGGTGGTGGTGAGGCCCCTCCTCAAGAAGCCTTTCCTGGACCTGGCTGAATTAGCTAACTACTGTCCGGTCTCCAACCTTCGTTTTGTGGCGAAGGTTGTTGAGAGTGTGGTGGCACGACAACTGCCCGGGCACCTGGATGAAGCTATCTATCTAGATCCGTACCAGTCGGGCTTCAGGCGGGGGCACAGCACAGAAACGGCATTGGTCGCGTTGGTGGATGATCTCTGGAGGGCTCGGGACAGGGGTTGCTCCTCTGTCCTAGTCCTATTAGATCTCTCAGCGGCTTTTGATACCATCGACCATGGTATCATGCTGTAGCGGTTGAGAGGGTTAGGAATAGGGGGCACCGTTCTGCGGTGGTTCTCCTTCTTCCTCTCCAACCGCTCGCAGTTCGTGTTGGCAGGGGGGCAGAGGTAGACCTCGAGGCGTCTCGCATGGGGAGACACATGGGTCGGTCCTCTCGCCTCTTCTGTTAAACATTTATGTGAAGCCGCTGGGTGAGATCATCCGTGGTTTTGGGGTGAAGTGTCATCTGTACGCTGATGATACTCAGCTGTACATCTCCACCCCAGACCACCCCAACGATGCCCTTGATGTGATGTCTCGCTGCCTGGAGGTCGTGCGGGTCTGGATGGGGAGGAACAGGCTCAGACTCAACCCGTCCAAGACCGAGTGGCTGTGGCTGCCGGCGTCCCGATATAGTCAGCAGGTGCCATCGCTGACTATTGGGGGTGAATCTTTGCCCCCCACAGAGAGGGCTCGCAATCTGGGTGTCCTCCTGGACGCACGGCTGTCTTTAGAAGAGCATATGACGGCCGTGGCCAGGGGGGCCTTTTATCAGGTTCGCCTGATCCGCCAGTTGCAGCCCTTTCTGGACCAGGACGCCTTGCGCACGGTCACTCATGCCCTTGTCACCTCCCGGCTGGACTATTGTAATGCTCTCTACATGGGGCTCCCCTTGAAGAGCACCCGGAGGCTCCAACTGGTCCAGAATGCGGCCGCGCGGGTGGTTATGGGCGCAACTCGTTAGGCCCACGTGACACCCCTCCTGCGCGAGCTACACTGGCTCCCAGTGGTCTTCCGGGTGCGATTCAAGGTGTTGGTTACCACCTTTAAAGCGCTCCATGGCATAGGACCCGGGTACCTTCGAGACCGTCTTCTGCCACCAATAGCCTCCCACCGACCAGTCCGTTCCCACAGAGAGGGTCTCCTCAGGGTGCCATCAGCCAAGTTATGTCGGCTGGCGACACCCAGGGGGAGGGCCTTCTCTTTGGGAGCCCCAGCCCTGTGGAATGAACTGCCCCCGGAAATACGTAAGATCTCGACCTCCGGGTGTTTCACTGCGCACTGAAGACCCTGTTGTTCCGCCAGGCAGGGCTATCAACATAATAATTTTAAATTGGGGTATTTTAATTTTTGGGGTTTTAAATCAGCCAAATTTATTTAATTATTTTAATTTTTAATCATTGTTGTGTCCTGTGTTTTTAAATTGGCTGTACACCGCCCTGTGTCCTTCGGGAGAAGGGCGGTATAGAAATAAAATTATTATTATTATTATTATTATTATTATTATTATTATTATTATTATTATTATTATTATTATTATTATTATTATTATTATCGCCTCTGCCCTCTTTCTCTCTCCAAGTGTAGTCCATTCCGATTTAAAGAAATTTCAAAGTTTTGTAACTTTCCAACAGACAATCATTCCAAATAGGTCCATGATAAAAGTAACTCCTTAATGGGTCTCTTTCTCCTGCAAATTATCTTGTCTTTTTGCCCCAATAATCTGTAGCTGCTAATTAAGGCAAAGGGCTCACTTGTAACAGTCCATTTTTTGAGCGCTGTTCCCGCCTGGGTTAATATCACTCACCCGGCTTCCAAACGCTTCGCTCTTTTTTTCTCCAATCTTCCTCCTACACAATGCTTCTCTGGTTTGCCCCGGCTTCGAGGCAGCCACCATGGCTGCCGCATCCCCACCGCCGACTCAGAGGGTTTCCTCCGGCCCCGAGGAACTTGCCCGTTCCTCTCAGCCATCCAAGGTGTCCCTCTCTGTCCCCTGTACCTACAGGACAGGATCGGTCCGCAGACCTGTCGGTGGGGGCTCAACAGTCGGGGGTTTCGTGGGGCTCATGAGAGCCCCGCTATTTCCCCGACTGGATTGCCGTGGCGCCAAACTGGAAGAAAACATCTGACCTTTCTTGTTATCATAGAAAATTTCAGAAGGAAAAATAAGAATAGTTTCAGAAGGATTCAGCTGATAACATTAAGAGTACTGCCAGTCTTTAATCACAGAGTGAGACCTGCATACCCTTATCAGATATGTCACCAGGCAAAGGAAGATGGATAATTGGAAAGGAAGCCAAATGGAAGAAAAAGGATTTTTCTTGGCATCCGTGACAAAAATTAGAGTGAAAAATTGGCCCAAAAAATGTAGTTAGGCCTGCATGCATATAAACTTACTCTTCTAGTACCAGAAGGCCTGGTTTTTCAATAGCAGGAATGTGCTTGAGTTGTTAGGAGAAAAAGCCACTAGCGTATAACTGAATAAGGTCTTATCAATTACAGATAGCATACCAAGCAGTCTAAAGAATACTAATCAATTAATTAAGATCACAAAATAACAAACTTGCAGTTAGCACTTAGAGGTAGACCTTCATTTAACAACCAGTTGCTTAGCAACCGAAGTTATGACAGCCTCCTCAAAAGGTGCGTAGATCTCACTTCTGAAGTTCTGATGCCAGCCCCTCCCCCATAATCGCTGGACTATATTTTGGGCATTTGGAACCAGCCTGCATTCCTGCTGTTTGCAGTATCCTTCAGTCAAGTGATTATGATTAAAAATGCTTTTGCCAAAAATCACTGTTTACTTCAGGTTGTTGTTTTTTTAAATGCTCCATAGCGAACAATGGGTTTGCTTAATGACCACTGTATTCACTTTACAATCACCATGTTCATTTAATAAGCAACATAAAAACGTATGGACTGGTCATGTGATGACCCACTATCATGATTTATGACCATAATAGCCGGCTCCACAATGGTTGTAAGTTGAGGACTATCTATATTAGAAAAGTGCTGTGCTATGAAAAAAAAGCTGCATGGGAAGAGAAGTTTGTTAAATACTGAAAAAGATAGACAATATATGATTTTAAGGCTATGCTTGCCAGAGGACATGAGGACAAAAAAAGAGGACAAGTCTCTTTTCACCAGATGGCTGGTAACCCTAGGCCTGCAGTATCAAGAATTAATACAAATCATCTAATGATAGATATATTATAAATTAAAACCTTTATCAATCTCAGTTATACTGTATGAATATTCAGCTTTATACCCAATAGTGATTTAATCATTTTGTTTTATAGCAAACTGAGGAGAAGAGAGGATGCTACAAAGGACACAATTCTTAATTTTCCAGTCTTCAAAGTGAAAGATAAGCAAAATTTCAAGACTAAACCCAGATTAATCTAAAGGAAATATATAGGAAACAATGATTTCTATGAATACACTATCCTTTAAATAGATTTCATAATTTCTTTCTTAGTGATTTCATTTATTTTCCTTTAATTGTTCTCTTTAATCTCTTACCAAGTTTCAAAATGAAATAAGCAAAGTAAGTATGTATTGGAAAACATTTTGTTATCAATACAAATTTAACCTTTTTTAAAGATTGCATAGCATTTTCTGAATTAAAATGATTTCAAAAGCTATAAATTGTAAGTAAAATGATTTTTTTTAATAACATGTTAGCTGTTATAGATGAATAAATATGGTTTCAGAACAAGGTTACATAGGTTGAGATTTTTCTATCCCTACAGATATTAGAAAAATCACACCCTATATCTATTCTTAGAAATAGCAGTTATGGATCAAGTAGAGCAGGAAACCTTTGTGCAGCATGCTTTCTTAGCTTTATTTTTGAGAAGTTGCAAGAAAGGGGGTGGGTGGGTTACTTAACAATACTTTTCTTAGAGTAGAGCTGAAGCCTGTTCTACTCCATTTAGATCCCCATAGACTCCAGATGCTTGGGAAGGCCTTAATGACATCCCTTATTCAGCCAGGGATTGGAATTATAGCTGAAATATCACCAGCAAGGAATAATGCTTTACCTTGTGTCAATGGATGAACTTACCCAGTGACTTCATTTAGAAATTAAATAGGAACAATGAAAAACTATAGACCTGAGGAATCCCCAGAATAGAAGCCTAGAGCGAAAACTCTTCTCTCCTACTAATGTTGATTGGAATCATCACCTGAGAAAGGAGGAGAACCAGTGCAACTCTATGCCCTCCCTCATTCCAGACTTTGAAAATTGATGCAGAAAATTATAATGATTGGATGATATAAAAAGCCACTGAGAGATCAAAGAGGGTAAGGATGAATAGAGATCAGCTAGATAGTGGTCAATGTGTTGTGCATAGTCACCCATTTTTTCATTTGTTGGTCTTGGTATATTATACCTTACAATTAAAGACCACAGCTCTAGAAAAGAACCGGCAACAACAACAAACCTGAAGGTTATCTTTTAAAATATCTTTGGAACTTAAAACTATTGTACTTCAGAATATTTTGTCATTAAGGAATCCTTTGTTAGTCAGTCTTGCCATATCAAAATAGCACATTGGGATAGTGATTTGCTGTCTCAATTTGGGTTATCTTGGCAATATAATCAAATATATTGTGATCATTTGTAGAGGGTGGAAGTTTTGTCCACCTTTCCTGCTAAGATTACATTACAAACACCTGTTTGGGAATCTGCCCATGATTGATCAAGGATATCTGATCAGATGAATAACTTCTCTGTAAGGGGACAAAGAATGAATAATAAGTTTTTATAAACACTGAAGTTTTAACCAAAGTTAAAATAAACATCATGTGTCTAGTAGCTTAAACAGGAAAAACGTGTTATTTGCAGGAAAATAAGGATTAGAATAAGACTATTCAGTTATTAAAGAGGTTGGAAGTTCTCTAATCTAGGATAAATAAGGGCTGGAAATAGGGAGTGAGGGTTGTCCTCTTTTTGCACTCCTGTATTTGGTAGGCAGAGCATTAAAATTAAATATTGTCCAGCTTTTTTAGTGTATTTTTTGGATTATCACCATAGTAGTCATAACATTTATGTGACCCTGTAAATTGTCTGCTTCTTTCTTTCCCTAGTTTATTGACAGACTTATGTCTAGATTTTAGTTATTTCCTAATTCCAGCAATTGTCTTCAATTCAGACGCTTTAAATATATGATAACTCTGTGTTTCTTTGTGTGTGCGCTCACAAGCCCACACATGTCTTCAAGTCAGTGTTGATTCCTGGCAACTATCTGGAGTCTGGATAAATCCCACAGTTTTCTTGGCAAAGTTTTTCAGAAGTGGCTGGGAAAGAAAGACTGGTCCAAGTCCCCCAGTTGGTTTCTTTGTGCCTTGGAACTAGTTTTCAGACACTCATTGTTTCTAGCCTGATGCCTTAACCACTACACCAAACTGGCCCAATCAATGCACTCTGTAGATAAATAAGTAAAGGTATGCTGGAAAAATATTGCAGTTGAAAAACCAGTCTTTCTCCTTTTGTCCCCAATTGCCCTACTTTCCAATCGTCCATATCATCCTTTCACCATGCCCATTCAGATATCTGGTAACTGTAGTGAAAGGTGGATTCTGGTAGCCATGTACTGGCAAATGGGGAATTATGATTATTAGCCCTTCAAGTAACACTGCTGTCAAATAAAATAGGACAGTCAAAAATAATTCAAGTTAAGAAGTAGAGAGACCAAGGGCATCTTTGGAAACTATAAAAACGCGGTGCTGGTTCCTTCAATTATCTTGATATTGAAGAGTACTAGCCTTTTCCCCTCCACCTCCCTTCCTCTAAAATGCGGGGCGGGGGGGGGGGGAGATAGGGGGGAACTTGGAATGAATGAAGTCTAAAAGCTGTACTTCAGATTTCTATTGCTTATGTTCTTCTGATTAGTTGTTCACTATGATTGGCCCTTTGGTGAAATTCTTCCAGAATCCTCCAGTTGCAAGGTCTCGGTCATATGCCAAGGAGGTCACAGGTAGGAAGGGCTTGATCTAATTCTCTGCACAAAGAAAATAGGTATGCGGCTACATTGATGGCAGAAAATTAGCAGAAAAGGAAATTTCAGGGGACTAATTTCAGTTTTGCTATAGGTAGCTTGTAGCACAGCAAGAGAAAAAAATCTTCTGCATCTCAAGTGCACTGAGCCTCACATGGTTTTCTTCAGTGAGAACACCTATATTGTCTTTGCACTAAACACTTTCTATTAAATCTCAAACTTGCTTTCCTGACAAGAATTCCAGTTGTGATATGGAACACAACAATGCTCAGAATTCTGCTGATTTTGATAAGGACTAAGTCCCAAGTAATTGTGCATATCACTGCATGCTTCATTCTTCTAATATAAATAAATGAAATTCATGAAAGATATTGACAAACCATTTCTCAAATTATTTCTCCAATATTCTGGAAATAATAGAAGAATAGAATTTTTATTGGCCAAGTGTGTTTGGACACCCAAGGAATTTGTCTTGGTGCATATGCTCTTAGTGTACATAAAATAAAAGATACGTTCATCAAGAATCATAAGGTACGACACTTAATGATAGTCATAGGTTACAAATAAGCAATCAGGAAATAATATCAATATAAATTGTAAGGATACCAGCAACAAGATTACAATCATACAGTCATAAGTGGGAGGAGATGGGTGATAGGAACAATGAGAAGATGAGAAGATTAATAGTAGTGCAGACTTAGTAAATAGTTTGACAGTGTTGAGGAAATTATTTGTTTAGCAGAGTGATGGCGTTCGGGAAAAAACTTCTTGTGTCTAGTTATTCTGGTGTGCAGTGCGAATAGTATGTTTTGCAGTTGATAATTAATGTCTCTAGGTTTTCGTCAAATAACTGGAATAACTGAAGCAAAAGGAAAGAGAAAGGATAGGAATGAAAAAGAAGTGGAAGGAGGACTTCCCGTTGGTGAATCCCAGCGATATGGCGCTGTGACAGCGATCGCTGCTTGCAGCGCCACTTTTTCGTCGTGTTTTGGGGTCCCTTCGAGGCGTGGGAGCTCGGAGAGTTCTGCGGATGATAGTGGGGTGTCAGCAGGCAGAGCGGTGAGGAGCAAGCACTCTCTGCTGGACCGACAGCCACTGTCAAACTAACGCGGCGTGTCTGCCTTAAATGGCAGACTTGAAGCTGTGATAGCCAACAAAAGACAGGAAGCAAGAAGATTTCGGCGAAGTTGGTGTCTATTATCATTCATACCTACTCTCCCCTGAACACGCTCGGAGTGAGTTTAATTGGATTGTGCTGGCTGCGTCAGATAAGAAGGATCCTGGAAGGAATTGGCGGCGATTGTGAGGCTGGAGGAGATCGGTGGGAGGCGAGATCGCAGACGAGCCGGTGAGACTGAGGATACTTTTAGAACGGGAGACGGCGCTTCCAGGGGATTGGATTGATATTTTGTTTTGAGCAAATAAACTTTGAAAGCTGAGAGTGTGGAATAGACTATTTGAATAAAGGAAACTGGATTTCGGAAGTGCGGCAATTGTCAGGATTAATAATAAGACTGTCTGGAGCTGAGAGAGTGAGAAGGAGCCCTTGGGAAAGACAACGTGGCTGATGAAATCTGACTGACAATGCAAATGGAGAGTGATTGAATTTAAGAGCAACGCGAAGCGGATTATACAGCAAAGCGTGCCTGCTGCACCGTTGTAAAAGAACTTTTTTATATTTTTGGTTGCTTCCCCCTTTTGCTCTTTTATGATTGAGAGAAGTTATTGAGCAATCAATTAATTAACGAGTTGGGCAAATAACAAAAAAAAACATTAGAAAATCTATATATCTATAATTATATATCTATATCAATATTACATATATTATATATTCCATTTCAGATAATCTAAATTAATTGTGAACTTATTTAAAATTTATTAAGGGGGCTTCCGGTTTGGTTTCCGTCGTCGCCAGACGGTCTTTCGGGACCGCCAGCCTCGTCGCCCATAAGAGCCGTCTCTACAGCTGAGAGATGGCTCGAAAAACTTCGTCTCATTGAGGAGACGTGAGAGAGAGCCGGCGAAAACAGGTAGAGCCCTCTGCGAACTCCCCAGAGATTTTTTTTACTCTTGGGGAGGAAGCAGAATGTGGCTCCCTATCCAGCTCGCCGCTGCTCCGGGCTTCGGGGGAACTCTGCGCTTTGCAGAGCCAGGTGATGGGACCAACCCAATCAACGAAAACTAACAGATTGTCTGAACAAGCAGGATGAAATCTGGATCTGGGACTCTAAATTGCAAGTATTTCTAACAACCCTATGAGTGATTTTAAAAGTGAAGAAAGAGTGAAACGGGAAAAAAAAAAGAAAGCTTAAAATGGCGACTGGCTGAGGCTTGAGAAGAAAGCTGAAAGCGAAAGTCCTTCCATTTGAATAGTTTAATACATTACAAAGTATCTGAAACAATAGTGCTGGCTGGAAGTGAAGAGAAAAATTCCTATTTCATGCTTCTTCCTTCTTAGAGATTTGATATTGATATTGTTTGGAGAGAAGTCTTTTTATTTAAAAAGAGTCTGTTTGTGTGGCAGGATGGCGTTAAAACTGACAAAGCCAGACAACCAAGCTGTGGGGGGGTGCTCCATTTACAAATCACATGAACAAGTTTTGAGCTTGCAGATGTAGAAGAATGGCTTTAAAGACCTAAAGGAAT